CTGTTTCAAATGAATTTTGCTTATATAGGGAATAAAACATATTTGGAGAGCTTCTCTTTGTTTTGATTTGAATCTCTCTCTCTCTCTCTCCCCATCCTGGGACATCTGTTTTCAACATTCCCTCCTACACCAGAGTAAAATTCAGCACTGCCACTGAAGGCAGATGCTTCTCTTTGCCTTTTTTTAAAGAAAAAACACTAGCAAGCAGGGTAGTTTCAGAAGATCTTTGTGGCAATTCTAAACAAGAAAAAAACCAACAAGCCAGCAGAGGTTGCCATGTGCAAATTCCAAAACGCACACCGGTTGATAGCGTTTATTGGGCCAAATAAGATGCGCGTGCACCCACATGCAATATGTATGCTTTCGAGGTGATCCATCTCTTTGCGACCCCACACGTCCTTAAGGCCGTGCAGTCTGAGTGTCTCCCCCCCAACAGGATCTGGAGCAAAAGGCAGGGCCCTCGGATGCAGCCTCCTCCACCCGGCTGACTTCTTTGACCCCTTCCCAGATGAGGTGGCCACTGGCCTTGAAGGCGCTTCCTCTTTTCAGTGGGCCCCGATAAACTCACTTCCCACCATGCCTTTGGGTTCCCAAAAGTTCTCAGTTCTTCCTCAAAGGTGCACTTGGTTCCCAGTCCTGTGCATGATTATGCAGGAGACGGACTTCTGCGTGAAAATGCCCAGGATGGTGCAGGGAGGGTAGGGGTTTAGCGGCTGGCACCAGTTGGTACCCAAGCCCGTCTTTGCCCTTTTAGTCTCTCCTCAGCCCTATTTCCTCCTGGCCTTCCCTTTGCCGAAACTAAACACTCCAGGCAGCTGAGAAGGAAAGGAAAGAAGTGCCAAGACAAGGGCAGAAAAGGGGCCGAGCAGCCTCTCCAGCAGAGGAAGAGGCCCTTCTCAGCAGCCTGCAGTGGGTCCGTTTGCTCCTGATAGAGGAGGATGCGGTGGGGCTGAGACCCATGGGCCCAGTTGTGACCAGAGCAGCCTCTTTAAATGCCCACGACAGGGCTTGGGGCTGGCCTGGGGGTGGGATACCGGCAGGGAAGGAAAGTCCAGTGACAGGGCTGTGGGGGGGGCATGACCCTGAATCCTCCCCTGCATCATGGCCTAATTGCTTGGCTTCCCTTTTGCAGACTCGGAGGGCGGGGAGCTCCCCAAATCTTAGGAAGAGAGAGAAAGAGGGAAGGGAAGTGAGAAGGGTCCTGTGGACCGAAGAAAGGCTTTTTTTAAAAAAGCAGCCGGTGTCCCGGCCTGCCTCACAGGGTGGTTGTGGAAAGCAGAGGGAAAAGCCATTTGCCCTCCATGGGTCCTTTCCCCAGCATTACTGTCTTTTCCAGTGACAGGAATGAATTAATGGCCTCGAAAAGGTCTTGCCAGGAAAAGTCCTCTCAAACTAAGGTTGTGGCTTCTTGGATAGACTCACTCCATTTCACATCTGCTTTTCCTCTTTTCCTGCTTCCTTTTGCCAATGACCCAAGGAGTCAGTGCCTTCCGAAAGCGTCTATCGTTAACTAATTTAACCTTCAGTAATGTGAAAATCTTCTTCCCTTGTGTATGTGCAGCATAGATGTTTTCCATACTGGGTTTCCCTTAATGCCTGTGTGAATGAGTTTGGGAAACTCTCCCTCCCTAAAAATCTGTCATTTAGTGATACAGTGCTCCTGAACATGGAGGCTCCATTTTCTTGGCTTACCAAGATGGCTTCCGCCTCATCCTTCAGGAAGAGGTGTGGGAGTCAGTGGCTGGGCACCCCATCTTGTGACCGACAATTCCATAAATTGTACATGTGGGTGCACAAAGAAGTGTTTATAAATACATCCAGCACAGTCTGTTATTTCAGAAGCTGCATTACACAGAAGCAGCGCATCTAGATGCCTGTTGTTCCCAACCTAGCGCCCTCCCAGTTTGCAAGATAGTCTCCCTAGCCTCGCACTGCTTAAAGAAAAACACAGGTAGCTGGATCGCCCATGTCAACAAATAAGGAGCAGGCCTTTTTAAAGCTAATGGCTCTTAACTGCTAATTTATAATCAAATCCCCCTTATGACAGAGGTGTGTGTGTTCTGTACTGTCAACTTATAATGACCCTCATGGGGCTTTCAAGGTAAGTGAGATATTTCAGGAGGGGGTTTTACCAATTCCACTCTTCCAGTGAGTTCCCACAGCTGAGTGGAGAACTTGCAACAATATACTGAAAATCCACTTTCCTCCCTATTCACCATCACGATTGCAGCTAAGCTCAGAGAGAACAGAGAAACCTGGAGGGCAGTAGATGATGCCACAGGCAAACGGCTGTGAAGAAAGTTTTGCCTCTTTGGAGCAATAATGTTTTACTATACTGTACTCTAATTGTGAAGCTGCCATCTCATCTGTTGCTACTCAAAGACACATATTTCTAATTATGAACCAGGCCCTCAAAGCATTCCCATTTACGGTTGAATAGATCTGCCTACAGAAAACACCCCACAATGAGCTGAAACCATTGAACTTAATCTTTACAATATTGTGCAACTTCAGACACGGGAGTGAATGACAGCTTACCTCCAGTCAAGCTGCACAGTATTTAAGGCTGCCCAAATAAGTCCTAGGCATTGAATTAAAGCAACAAACGAATACATTTAATACCTAATTATTTGAGGATGTTACTCAAACTAATGACAGGTTGCTGTCCGCTGAAGATGCCGGCCACAGAGACTGGCGAAACGTTAGGAAGAACAACCTTCAGAACACGGCCAAAGAGCCCGAAAAACCCACAACAACCATTAGATCCCGGCCGTGAAAGCCTTCGCGAAGGCATCGTTTTATTATTTTTTTAAATCTTATTCCACAAGAAACAATGTTCACTAACAAGATTTTTTTTATTATTATTACAACGTATTAAATAACACTGTGTTAAATATAAAATACTCATTTTAAAAAACGCACACGTGACAGATGGTTTAAAAGACTGGACATTTTGTTTTTCTGTGCTTTTTTTAAAAAAAATCACTCAAGATTTCATCACAGACATTCTTCTAAAGTTTTGTGGTCCTTTCCTTCTGTCTAGGAATTAATCTGTTCATCTGTGGTCCACTATGCTTATGTCAGCTTTTTAAAAAATCTTATTACACAGTTTCAGTTTCTACCTTCTAAACCAGTGGTAGAGTATCTCTGGCCACCAGACATAGCTGTCCTGCAATCCCCATAATCAGACTGATCACTAATGGGGAGTAGAGGATAGAGAGTAATACAGTGGTGCCTCGCTTAACGAGCGCACCGTAGAACGACGAATCCACATAGCGAGGAGGTTTTAGCGATCGCAGATGCGATCGCATACCGATGGCCTCTATGGCCGAAAATCGCTTTGCGATGATCGGTAAGCGTTTCGCTTACCGATCTTCGCAAAGCGATGCCGCGGATCAGCTGTTCGGTGGCTCCAAAATGGCCACCGGACAAGCGATGCCGCGGATCAGCTGTTCGTTCGCGCCCTCCCCTCGCTTACCAAGGGCGTGAAAATGGCTGCCGGCTATGGGACAACTTCGCTGAACAGTAAGTTTTGGAGCCTATTGGAACGCATTAAACTAAGTTTAATGCGTTGCAATGGCTTTCCCCGTTCCGTTCAGCGATGTTTCGCCATAGCGACGGTTAATCTGGAACGGATTAACCTCGCTATGCGAGGCACCACTGTAATTGGCGGTATAGTGGTCAATTTGGAAGGGTGGGTGCCTCCTCATGACAGCTACTATAGTCCTGCCCCCTTCTCACGCAATTCCTGAAATCCCAGCAGCAGGAATTTTCCAGATCAACAATGAAGAACGGGTCTTTTGTAAAGCTGATGGCTCTTAAATACTCATTCAAGGCTCACTACCCTCAAATGTGTTACTTTGTGACAATATATTGTTCCTTTAGGAATCAAGTTCTCTTCCAATTACAGTGAGGATTAGCTAGTGCAAGGGGAACAGGAATTATGCTGTATACAGTACCCTGCAAATCAAGAATATAGGAGGATTTGACCTTATGAGTCCTGGCTGCAGCAGTATATACGTATTTTCTAAATATTTGTGCCTGTGCATCCTGAAAAAGAAATGAAATTTTAGTCAGGTGCTTCTGATTTTCCAGCTTTAATAATTGGTAATATATTAAAATCAATAACCCCCCCCAACCCCTGAGTGCGGCTTTCTAATTAATAGAAACATTTGTTAGGCTGCACTGTTAAGGATATGCAGTAAAGGAGAATTGTGAGGTCCGTTTTCTCTGTCTAGGAATGAATCTGTTCATCTGTGGTCCACTGTGCTTCTGTCAGCTTTTTTTTTAAAAAATCTTTTTACACAGTGGTGTTTTGCAACCAATATTTTAAAAAAAGGGGTTGAGGTGTGATAAGGTATGATGCAAAGAAAATTTGAAAACAATGGTGGCTAAAAAGTACTGCTCTTTTAATTCCGATTATTAGAGGGATGCAAATATGACATCAGTATTTTTGAGGTAAGAAGTGAAAGCCAATGTGGGGTAATGGATAAGACTTGGACACTGGAGACCTGGGTTCAAATCCTCTTCCTATGGAGCATGGGGTTGGATCAATAAGATGTAACTATGGCCATCACTGGGGATGTGTATTTGTGTGTGGATATATCTGTGTGCATATATGTTGACCGGATACACACATGTACACTGTGATTTTTGTCTATGATTTAGAAACATATTTAAACCAAACATTTCGCTTTCGCAATTCCAAAAGGCAGAAAGCTCAGTGCTTTTGTCGTTCACTGCGTCTGTCAAATGGATCCAGAAAAACCTGTCCTGAAGTGCTGCTACGTTCTCCTTAGCTGGGTCTGTCCCCCAAAAGATCACACGACACACACAAATGCATATATTTAAAGGCAACACCGGTCTCTTTCTCACATATACAGTTGCTCCCTTTCAAGGGACCACGGGCTATCATGAGGGGATTCGCCCTCCCTGTTCCCCCCTCCGCCCAAAAATATAATGTCTCTTTCTACATCATTTTGGGGTGAAAAGGAACCCTCCTAGAGAGGGTTGGAGGGAGCCAGAGGCCATTTCCTGAGGCGGCCTTCCTCCTCCTCCCTCTCCCAGCGGGCGGTTGCTATGGCAACTCCCTGGGCCAAGGACGCCTAGCCAGCTGTTGGAAAGAGAGGCTTCCGCCTTCTGTGGCTGCAAATCCAGCTCCTTGTCTGGAGAGAGGTCAGAGCCAGCCATCGTGAGCAGAATTTGTGTCGTAATTAAATATATATATTGATAGCTTTTCTCTATTCTGCTCTTATCTTTTTGCTTTCCTCCTGGTTGAAGAACCTCTCCATTATTTATCCTCTTTTGCCTTACTCTTCTTATTTTTATTGTCACTGCTATTTAAACTTATTGTTGTTGTCGTTGTCGTCATTGTTATTAAAACACAGAAGTATTTGTCTTTTTCATCTTTTTTATTTTTTTCAATATGCAGTCTTTTTTGAGAATTTTTTTGTAGCTTTTCAGAACTGAAAAATTCCATTCAATAGGCCTCAAGGGGTAAAGGAGTACCAAAATTCTGAACTTTTTATTTCATTTCTGTCTCCCTTGGGCTTTCGTGTGCCCTCTTGAGCTTAGTTTGTTTTTGCCCAGCAGTAATCTGGCTGTTTTTAGCAAAAAAACAAACAAAGAAAGAAACATAAAACAAAAGGGTTGTGAAACCTTTAAATCTAACCGATGTTCAGTTTTTGTGCATTAGACTCTTGCGGATTGCAGTCTTTTGTGTCTGAGATAGATGGTAATTCAGAGAATCCATCATTAACTTTACTTGATTAATCTGAAAGATGTCCAGATACTATTTGTTGTTTTGTTTTGTCTTTGCATAACAACTGCCCTGGGTCATCATACAAAATATTTTGCCGTAAAATGGGCAGTTAAGACCCATTAATTTTACCAAATGATTAGTTTCTGGCAATCTTGAAGACTAGTAGAACTTGTTTTTTTGGACTCAACGAAGCATATCATAATTTCCCCATATTTTGCCCCTAGAACAGCAAACCATGCCCCCCCCACAAACCTCTGGGTTGTGTTTAAACCCAATTCTTTCTCCCTGAACCTATTTTAACTCTTTAAATGCCTTTTATGAAACGGGAAAATAATTGGTTTCAAGGACTGAGAGAGTCTCTCGAAAGGTTTGTGTTTAATGGCAAGTCATGCCTGATAGAGACTTCATTTAATGTATACATCAGATAGTTGAGCCTTTTGTACAGATGGCTAATGATATGAATTCTGATGTTGGTAAGGCCTGGGTGAAAATAGAGGTACCTGTAGTCAAGTCTACTAAGTTATTGCCACTTCCCTTCCAGATAAAAATGAGCTGTGCCTATTGAAATGTTTGGATGTGAATTACAGGAAGATCAAATTCTGACCTAGCAGCAGCAGCAGCAATAAAATGGGTAAAGAAAAGAAGAAAGACAGTAAAAAAGGAGAAAAGGCTGTACCTCCGCCTACAAACAACGTTTCTCTTGACGTTGGTAGTTCTGTACAGAACATTCTGCCGGCGTCAAATCTTGGGGAAGAACAGGTTTCCGGCCAGTTGACTCTGAAAGAAGAAGTGAAAGAGGCCGAGGCACTTCCAGTCCCTGAACCCATTGAGTACGAGGAGCCCATTCTCACCCAACTGATTGTTGAAAGGTAAACTGGGAATGGATTCACCAGGAGTGGTGTGTGTGTGTCCGCACGCAGGGGGCTTCTGTCTAATGCACAATGGCCAGGACAAGGTAGCGTAGTATAGTGATTAAAGTGTTGGGCTGGGACATGAAAGATGTGGATTAATTTCCCTGTGGGGGTCAGTCTAATTGTTAAGCTTCCAGGTTAAGGGTAAAGTGGATGGTAAATATAGCAGCCGAGTTCCCTGAAAAAAAAGGTGGGACAGAAATCTAGTTCATCAATAATACACAGCCTACCAAAACAAGAGACCTAAGAATAGGAATCATCCTTTCACAATTTGAGAGGTAAATTGCACTGATAAAAGTGCTGATGAGATGTTTGTGTTGGATAACAGGTGCTCATCACATCTGCCTTATTCATTTGCTAGGATGTTTGTGATCTCTTCCCTGCCTCCGTTTTGTTAATGCCCGGTGTTAATAACAGAAATGTCACTCTCTGCTAAACCCAGCCCACCAACAGTCCAAACTGGACATATATACCTGAACTCCCAAGTGTGAACATCATTGGAAATGCCAGAGGCACAATGTTGCAAACAACATATGTGGTACAAACCACCAAGAAAAAGAAAAAGCAGAGGCACAATGTTGCAAACAACATATGTAGTACAAACCACCAAAAAAAAAAAGAAAGAAAAAGAAAAAAAAGATGAAGGGCAGGACCTTCAAGACTAACAGATTTTTTAAAATGTTGGCTTTAGTAGATTGTAATCCATGCCATCAGATGCATAGAGTATAATATTAAGTCTTGAGGTAGATATTTACAGTAGACATGTGAGTAGAATCAAAGTGGAATGATGTTGCATATTGCTCAGAGTGGCTTCAAGATGTAATGAGTGGTCGACCAGACCAGATGGGCGGGATATAAATCAAATAAATAAATGATGATTTCATATCTACCTATACAGTGGTGCCTCACTTGACGATGTTAATTCGTTCCAGCGAAATCGAAAACATCATCAAACGAAATTTAAAAACCCATTGAAACGTATTGAAAACCATTCAATGCGTTCCAATGGGCTGAATACCTGCTCGTCCAGCGAAGATCCTCCATACGGCAGCCATTTTCAGTGCCTAGTGCCTGTAAAGTGAGGAATCCATCCTAGAAAACAGCGGGGGGCCATTTTCTTCAGCCGGTGGTCATTTAGAAACCCGACAATCAGCTGTTTGCTGATCGTCATAAAGCGAAAATCGGTTCCCAAAGCAGAGGACTGATCATTGCTAAGTGAAATCCCCCCATTTAAAACATCGTTTTGCGATTGCAAAAGCAATCACAAAAACGTCGACGTAATGCGGATTCGTTGTAGAGCGGGGTAATTGTCCAGCGGGGCATGACTGTATATCTGGAGATCCATAGATCTCCAGATATATAGGTATCAATTTATTATTAACCCTTGGAATTGCTCTAAACATGTATGTGATTATAAACCAATTGCTCATTCTGGCCCAGATCGTATTAGATTATGCAGAAATACAGCATAGACTTGATGCAATTTTCCCTTTATTATTATGCTTTGGTAAGAAATTGTGCCTTATGGCTTGACGTATAATAATAATAATGCTGTTTGATCATGGTTAAAATCACCTGAGTTGAATTGACTCCCTAAAGAAAGCCACAGCATTGAGTTACAAGAGCTGAGCAGGGCTGGTGAGGACAAGGACCTTCTGGAGGTCACTCATCGTTAGAGTCATCAGAAGTTGGAGACTACTTGATGGCACATGATGATAATGACCACAACATATTAGTTACATTGAATTATTCATCACCAGTTAGTTTTCATTTCTCTTCCTTGAAGGTATGAAGGAGAAAAAGTCCGTGGGTTGTATGAAGGAGAGGGAGTAGCATATTTTCAAGGAGGCAATGTATACAAGGTAGATATTTTCATTTTTCATTTCTGTAACATATAGAGCTGAACATTGGGATAGGTTAAATCATCCCGTGCTGGAACCATAGGATGGGCTCAAATGATGGCTTTTTCCCACCCTTTTTCCGTAGGGTCATTCCCCTGCCCTCGCTCCAGTCTCAAACATTTAAAAAATGATTTTCTCATAGGTGTTAATTGTTTAAACACAGATGTGTTGACGCTCTTGCCTTTTATTCTGTAGGGCATGTTTTCGGAAGGCCTCATGCATGGCCGAGGAACTTATACATGGGCCGATGGAGTGCAGTTTGAGGTAGAGTATCATGTTAATTAAGCCTCAGTATGGCCGAATGTATTTGAAATCAGTGTTCTAAAATCTCTGCTCTGCAAGTACCTGTTCTAGATTCTCAGAGCATAAATGGTGTTCCATTCTCCATCGTGATGCGTGACACCTGTCAGTACTGAGGCACACTCCAGTACATACATGAAGGCAAGAAGAAAAGGGGACAATAGAGGACAAGATGGCTGGGCAGGGTCATCGAAGCCACCAACATGAATTTGACCCAACTCCGGGAGGCAGTGGAAGACAGGAGGGCCTGGCGTGCTCTGGTCCATAGGGTCACGAAGAGTCGGACACGGCTTAACGTCTAAGCAACAACAATCAACACTTAGGAAAACTTATTACGATGGACAAGTTAGTGCAGCAAAAACCTATATCGGTTTTCTTCTTCAATCAGATTATTTTCTCAAACGATGGTATGGGTTCAATTTAAAATGTGAAGAAAAACCTTTAACATGTTTTTTTGCATGTCAGAGATTTGAATAATTGCCACTGACATTTAAGCATACATGTTTACGTGGCTGTTCGCAAAACAAGGTATCCTCTAATTAAATCATAGTTTAAAACATCAGTTTCGCAGTGTCTAGCATGCACTCAAAGGGATTTGTGAATCAGCTGGAGATTTGTGAATTAGCTAGGATTGCCTTGTGGGTTTCTTAAGGGCAATAGTTTCCTCCATTTATGCTCTGTTTGAAGACCAGTGCCACAATAATATTGAACAAGTGGGTCCTAGATCAAGTCAAGCCTGAACAATCTCTGGAGACAAAAATGTTGAAACTGAGGCTGTTCAACTTCATGAGGCCCATCATGAGAAGGTGGGATTTTCTGGAGAAGACAATAATGCTGGGAAAGGTGGAAGGCATCAGGAAAAGAGGAATACTAAATACAAGATGGACTGACCCTCCAAGAATCCACAGGCTTAAGTTTACAAGAGTTGAGCTGGGCAGTTGAGAACATGAGGACCTTATGGAGATCACTCATTCATAGGTGATTGGAGGCCACTTGACAGCAGGTCACTACAAGCATCGCAAGAATGCCAAAGGTCTCTAAAGAAATGCAGACTCGTGCTGTCCCTGGAACTTCTCATCCTTCAGGGAAATAAGCAGCAGTATTCAACAATATTTTAAAATTGTATATCCATGTGTTTTTTTTTTAAATTGCTTCTACATACCATCTGGCCGGAAAACAAACAAACAAAATAAGCGGAGTGTTGCACTGAATCTTTTCTGTGCGTTCATCTCTCCAGGGAAATTTTGTAAAGAACCTGCCGATGCATCACGGCAGGTACACTTGGCCTGATGGTAGCATTTATGAAGGCGAAGTGAAGAACGGGATCAGGCACGGCTTTGGCATGTACAAGTGTGGCACCTACCCTGTTTCGTATATCGGCCAGTGGGTTGAAGGCAAGAGGCACGGCAAGGTAAATAAAACGTGGTGCTGAAGCACCTTGAGACCCCTGGAATCTGTTGTGGTGAGAGCTGCTGCAGAGTGCTGGAGATGCCATGATTTGGTTGCTCTAGCCAGCAACCAAAGGTGACTTTTCGTATTGTAAGCCAGCAAGATCAGGGTTTGATTCCCCTTCTTCTATACCTCTCCCTAGCACCACAAATCTGTTTCAGATAGTTCATTTGGAACAGGCTTTTAAGGATGTGCAAGGGGGCTGCAGGAGGCAGAGGAGACCTTCCAATGGTGGCGAAAGATCAGAATCCAACAAACACAGACCATTTGGATTCTATCTTTGTTTGCCCCACGTGGCTTTCAACTCAGAGGGGTGATGGGGAGCTGTTCTCGTTCACCATTTGAGAAATTCTTACTTTCTGGCTGGAGAAAAAACAAATGCACAGGTCCCAAGTATGAGATAACCCTTGGCAAGGTCCCCTGTAGGGCAGCCGTTCTCCACGCGGTCCATATGACCCCCCCCCGGGGTCAGGTGTGAAGGGTGCCACAGATGGAAAAAAGTTCTTCACGCACCACTTTCTAATTTATTTTTATGCGATTTATGCATTCCTAACTTGGCCTCTTCTTTTTTTCATCTTGTGTTTATGGCCATGGCCAGAAAATGATTTGAGAATGGCTCCTCTAGGATGTCCCATCTTATATAATTGATCTACTCTTAAGGAGGCTTGCTTTACAGAGGGCCACAGGAGATCACACTCACCCCCATCCTGACCCACTGTGTCACAAGCTGGTTTTGGAATTCCCAAGAGGGTATTTTTATACACAGGGCTCAGTTATGACTTTTGCATAATTGAAGTTTGAAACATAAAATTACAGCCTGCCTTTACGAAACATCACAATAAACCACAGAATAGGACGTGCCGAGAAGATAATACTGTATGTTGGCCTGCTTGGTAGAATCTGACTATTAAAGTCTATATTTTGAGACCACAACCTTATAGACAGGTTGTCCTTTCTTGAAACGGCACAATGCTTAGTTGTTTTAGATACTTCAGTAACAACGGTACATTTGGCATGTCTGAAAAGCGCTCAACCCCTGAAGCGTTGGTGTGGTTTTTGATTTCAGGGTACCATTTACTACAACACAGAAAGTTCTTCCTGGTATGAAGGTGACTTTGTTTACAATGTAAAAAGCGGATGGGGAATAAGGTGGTGAGTTTTCAAAGCTTTTTGTTCTGGAAATATTTTAAATATTGAACATTGATAGCTCTTAGGGTTAAGCTAAAGCTCTCCCAGATTGTGGATAAGGATCAGGACATAAGTAGAGGACAAGCTATCATAACCGTTGGGCAGAGCGAGGTCACCACTGGGGAATCAGGTATTGGGCAAGAGAAGTGGGAGCCTACCTTCCTTCTGTTCCCCCTAAGCCCTCCTAAGGGTCCTTTCCCCTTTTAGAAGGTTAGAGGTGTGTATGCCACAGTCTGCTGTCTGCAGGTGTGGTACAAGATCCTATCATATTGGCAGTTTTTAACATTCAGGTACTAGTTCAGTCAGCTTATACAGTATATGTGGCATAGAGGCAGTGCCATCTCTGAAAATAACATCTCCATCTGCATTGGGAGGGAAGCTTATGATAGTTCAAAGTGTACTGCTTGAAAACATTTTTTTAAACTACAACTCCCTAGAATCTCCCAGTGTTATGAAGCTGCTTTGTTTTGTACAATATCCTTGCAAGGTGTGTAATGTACAACATTGGTGATCAAATTGGAAACCTGTTTGGAAGAAAGGATGCTGCTATGGATGCCGCAGTCTCAGAAGAGGGAAGGCGTAACTAGCAAATGGCACTCTTGTCTGTCCAGCCGTCTGTCCGTCCGTCCATCCATCTGCCCATCCCAACTGTCTAGTGGCATTGCCACTATGCTGGTCAGCACTACATAGAAAAAACTTAAACGTAAAACACCTATTAATTTAATTTAATTCATTTACCACCTAACTAGTTAATTCACATTACTCCGGATAAACAAGCAAAACCCCATAACCACAACCAACTTCATTCCCATAACAACATAATTACATAACAAAATTGCACTGTGACTGATTCAAGTGCGTAATCTACAGAAAACCTAATTCAAACATTAAAATTAACATCATTTGAGTTTCTAATGTTCTTAAAGGCTACCTTATCTCATTCTGTCTTGAGTAATTTCTTAAATGTTGAGAGGTTAAAAACCTGGTGCACCTCAACGGGCAGTTTGTTCCACGAAGTAGAGGCTATTGCTGAGAAAGGCTGATTCCTCGTTGTTACCGTCAAACTTTTATCATTGTAGACTGAGAGGAGTGTGTGACATGGGAAGCTGTTTTTTGGGAGAGATGTTGCAACAAGTATCAAAGTCTTAAGTCATGTGGGGCTTTAAAGGTCTTGCTGGTCATGCTGTCCTATTAGCCCCCATGGCATAGAAAATAACAAGAAATATAACTCCAAATCATTCTATAGGATTAGATGGAAATATACAGTGGTGCCCCGCATAGCGACGTTAATCCATTCCGGATAAAACGTCGCTATCCGGAAACATCACTATACGGATATAAAAACCGTTCCTATGGTGTCGCTATCCACCGCTAAGCGGGAATCCTCCATCCGGCCACCATTTTCACTGCCTCAGTAAGCGAGGAATCGGCGCGAAAACGCTGCGGGTGGCCATTTTCTTGATCCGGTGGCCATTTTGGAACCGCCGATCAGCTGTTTTAAAACATCACAATGCGAAGATCGGTAAGCGAAACGCTTACCAATCATTGCAATGCGATGTTTAGCCTATTTAAACATCACAATGCGATCGCTTTTGCGATCGCAAAAACCGAATCGCTATGCGGATTTGTCATTAAACAGGGCACTCGTTATGCGAGGCACCACTGTAATTCCGAATCAATCTCTGTGTAGAACATATTGTACGGAAAGCTGGATTAGATTCAGGTGAAGATCCCTTACAGGTGTGTATTCTCAAAAACCATGTATGAATTAATGTGTCTGCCCAAAGATCACGTTGGGTAATTGAACCTATCATGGCAGATTCTAGGAGCTGTAATCTAAAAGCTATACTTTTCTAAAGTCCATAAAGCTACCCTGGCTAATAATTATGAAGATGATGTGCCATCAAGTCAGTCCTGAGTTATAGTGACCCTTTCCAGGGATCTTCCAGATAGAGAGTACTCAGAAGTGGTTAAAAACTCCTTTCGTCTGGGGACATCCTGGGATCATGCAGTTTGCCCATGGATACATACGCTGGCTCTGCTCATAGCAGGCACAGTAGGGAATCAAACCCCCAACATCGGGCTCTACATCCAGATACCTAAAGCACAGAAATCCAGCTATCGCCATGTCTAATAGCTGCATATAAATTCCTTCTCACCCACAGATTTTTCTAACGCCCTTTTAAAAGTCATCTGCTGGTGGCCACTCTTGTGAAGCCTTGGAGTTTAGTCAAGTGGTATTGGTGATATGACATAACTGTGGCATAATTAGTTTCCTTGTTCATTTGTTTTCTCAATAGTTATAAATCTGGAGATATTTATGAAGGCCAGTGGGAGAGGGACATGCGTCACGGAGAAGGGCGGATGAGGTGGTTAACAACTAACCAGGAGTATACTGGAAAGTGGGTTAACGGCATACAGGTAGGACTCAACTGGACGAGAGTTTTAACTTTGCTGATCTTCTCTGTCAGTTTCATTTGCTTATAGGGCTAGGGAAAGTTACTTTTTAGAATGAAACTCCTAAGCATCTCCCAGGCCCCTGGGTGTTATAGGTCAAAAATAAACTTTTTAGAGTTCTGTTTATTTAAACGATTTGTACACTCTATCTGTCTAATCTCTATAGTGGATTTGAGACTAACATCCTTAAAATAAAGCCCCAAGGAACAATTATTACCCATACTGGGGGGGAGGAGACCCATTGGGGGGGAGGACAACCTCATTTTCAGGATCAATTTTTGATCTACAACTTAAGCCACATGCAAAAATCTGACATGACTACAGAACCGGTGGCCCTCCATGTCTTGAGGAACCAATATTCTTGTCGTCCTCCATCATTGTTCAGATTGGCATCAGCAGTGGTGTAGGAGAGCCAGGGTTTTGCACTGTTAAAGTCCCTGGACTTTCTGATTAACAGAGGATATGACACAATTTGCAACCCGTCAGACTTCTTGAAACTTAACTGCAATCCTTGCAGTAGTTGGGAAAGAAATGGATTTTTCCAGGCATTGCATATTCTTGCAAGCTACCTCTGTTGTGTGTGTGTGTGTGTGCCTGTATGGTGCAGTGGGTGGGGAATTGGACTAGGATTTGGGAAATTTAGGTTTAGATCCATGCTCAGCCATGGAAACCCATCGGGGGAGGAGCTGCAGTGATGAACCATTCCTTTAATGTCTCACATGCTTTGAAAATGCAACATCTCCGTTATAATGCAAAGTATCTGAGTACGTATATTTGTCTTGAATGGACAATTAAAAGCCATTAGTTTTGCAAAATAACTGTTTATTGGTGGTGGATGATGATCAATCCAGTGGCTTTCATGTTTTAATCAAGCTTATCTTATAGGGACTGTCATGATCAGCACTTGGACTTTGCCAACTTGGAGGGAGTTTCTTCTGACAGTCATTTTTACCTTTTTCAGCATGGATTTGGTACCCACACTTGGTATCTGAAGAGAATACCTGGATCACAGTATCCCCTAAGGAACGAATATGTGGGAGACTTTGTCAATGCAGATCGCCACGGGACTGGAAAATTTTTCTTTGCCAGCGGAGCAATGTATGATGGAGAATGGGTTTCCAATCAGAAGCATGGCATGGTGAGCTTTGAAAGCAGTGTCATAACATCTGGGAGTTGAGCAAGAGGCTTCAGCACTGGCCATTGAGAGGAGCTCGGGTGTCACTGTGTAGCAAGCAGTGGCTGTGTCGTTTTGTTATATGACAAAATTGTCTCCAACTTCATGAACAGCCCTCCTCAGGTCTTGCAAACACAAGGCTGTGGTTTCCTTTATTAAGACCATCTCTCGTTCATTCTTCCTTTTTCTACTGGCTTCCACTTATCCTACCATTACAGTGGTGCCTCGCATAGCGAGGTTAATCCGTTCCGGATTAACCTTCGCTATGTGAAAACTTCGCTAAGCGGAAAGTAAAATGCGTTCCAAATCGGCACAAAACTCACCGTTTAGCGAAGTTTCCAGGGTCCGGCAGCCATTTTCGAATAACTGTTTATTGGTGGTGGATGATGATCAATCCAGTGGCTTTCATGTTTTAATCAAGCTTATCTTATAGGGACTGTCATGATCAGCACTTGGACTTTGCCAACTTGGAGGGAGTTTCTTCTGACAGTCATTTTTACCTTTTTCAGCATGGATTTGGTACCCACACTTGGTATCTGAAGAGAATACCTGGATCACAGTATCCCCTAAGGAATGAATATGTGGGAGACTTTGTCAATGCGGATCGCCACGGGACTGGAAAATTTTTCTTTGCCAGCGGAGCAATGTATGATGGAGAATGGGTTTCCAATCAGAAGCATGGCATGGTGAGATTTGGAAGCAGTGTCGTAACATCTGGGGGTTGAGCAAGAGGCTTCAGCACTGGCCATTGAGAGGAGCTCGGGTGTCACTGTGTAGCAAGCAGTGGCTGTGTCGTTTTGTTATATGACAAAATTGTCTCCAACTTCATGAACAGCCCTCCTCAGGTCTTGCAAACACAAGGCTGTGGTTTCCTTTATTAAGTCCATCTCTCGTTCATTCTTCCTTTTTCTACTGGCTTCCACTTTTCCTACCATTATTGTCTTTTCCAATGAGTCTTTTCTTGTGTACACCAATATGTACAAACTTAGCTTCAGTTTTGTCCTTTTAGTGTTTTAATAAGAGCTCAGGCTTGATTTGATCTGGAAGCCCCTTATTTGTCTTTCTGTCAAAATAAACCCATAAAGCTCTCCCCCAACTGACCCTCCCTTGCCTGCAAGACTCCAGGGAAGGAAGGAATCTGGCTCCTGCTAGAGCCATTTCAAAATCCACCTGTAGGGGATCTGTTCATACCTTTGACCAGCAGGACCTGTCCTCCTCTTTGCAGCCTTGTGCAGAGGGAAGGAAGAGGAGGAGGAGAGAAGGGCAAATGGTTTGGGAGAGAGAAAAAGATAAAGGGATCAGCTCAGCCACTTTGGGCCGCATGCCACTTGCAATGCATGGCACCCAAAGGAGTGTGATCTCCAGCAGAAGAAACATCCACCACTCCTCTGTTACTGCTATATCCATGTAATTGGAAAAGTAATACATTCTGCTTATTTCTCCTGTATTCAATTTTTCCTCAGAGGAATATCTTACTGATTCCTGTCAATTATGTGTCCAGATTTTGAAAGTTTACCTTTTTTCACTACATCTGCCAGAATCTCCAGCCAGCATTTCTTACCCTATCGTTGCTCCCAGCAGCTGGTGCTTAGTTCAAAGGGTTTCTGAACTGGAAGGATGCAGTGGTCTATTATTGATAGATATATGTATATTCTGTTAAATTTGTCCCAGAAGCCCTCTTAGCTAGAGAGTGTTTGTCACTCCATTTTTTGCAGCAGACCCACCCCCAGTTTTCTATTTGATGTTTATATTTTAAGACCCTTGGGGGAGAGTCTGCTGTTACCCATCACTGCATTAGACACAGATGATGCTTTAGTAAGTGCTGGTATAATTGGGTGAGTTGGAGCACCTGGCGACAGCACCAAGGGGCAGGAGTTCGAATCCTGGTGGACCTCCTTCGAAGGGGGCCAGCTGAGATTGTTCAGATGGGGGTTACGTGACCTGCTTTGGGCAAGCTGGACAGTCCCAGCGTACATCAGACGGAGGGAATGATAAACCACTTTTGAGTAGTTTGTATTTAGAAAATCCTGGAAAAGGTAGCCTTAAGTTGGAATCAACCTGTCAGCGTTTAATTATTATAATAGGCAGTTTTTAAATAACCGAAAACATTGGCAGTCACTCCCAGTACATGTGATCTTTGCATCTGTTTGTAATAACCAGTGTCTTGCCTCACTCCCTGAGCAATTCTGTCATATTGCAGTGTGACCAATGAGTAGAATTGTGCAGATGGGGCTTTTGTGAATAGCAGAGGCCAAAACAGGCAGTAATCATGGACACCTTTTTGCTTTTTTCTTCTTCAGGGTAAACTTGTATTCAAGAATGGACGTGTGTATGAAGGTGAATTTATATATGATCATATAGCAGAATATCCAGATTTTCACATTGACATCATGAATACACAAGATCTGAGTGGCATTCCAACAAAGGCTCCTTTTGGTACTGGTAAGGACCTTGCCTTATGGCTGGAGCAAAGTAGTTATAATATTACATTAAACCTAGCAGTTATTTTTTTAAAAGAGAGTTTATTACGCCTAATTAATGTATATGTAAATTACATGTGGTAATAAAAACAATTGTGGGCAAGACAGATATTTGTAGCAAAGAAGAGGCAGTGAGGAGATATTGGGAGAGAGAAATTCAATCATCCACTGAAGATAATAAAGCCTGATCTAAATCTAGGCTGAATCCAAGTGGAGGAAATTGCTAATCAGCAACTCTTGCAGCTTGTTAAGGTAGCTTTGCTGTTGCTGTGCCTCCTGCAAATCTGGATGGTTGCAGCAGAAGCTGCCTTAACAAGCTGCAAATAAGAGGTGATTGCCAATTTCCTTCTCTCTGTTGAGTCCTGTTGGTCAGTTAAAGCAAGTTTACCTGGGGAAATCCAATAAAAATACTTTATTTCTTCTTGTAGAGAGTATCAAAGTTGTTGATGGCACAGGAGATTCATCTGCACTGGGATCAAACATTGAAATAGATATATCAACATTGTTGGCTATATTTCCAAAGGAAGAAAAGGAAGAAGAAATCAAACAGGTATGTAGTATCTTTGTGTAGCTGATTTCGGTTGTCTTGCACATCAGGAAAGAAAAATAAAATAAGAAAAAATACAGCCAAGTTTCTAAGATGAATGAAAGAGTTTTTAAGAAGCAGATATAGTTAGTTCTTAGAGAAATGACGATCAGAAGTATGTACAGTGGTGCCTCGCATAACGATGTTAATTGGTTCCATTAAAAACATCGTTATGTGAAAACATCGTTAAGCGAAACACCATTTACCATAGGAATGCATTGAAAACCGCTTAATCCGTTCTCTCTGTTGAGTCCTGTTGGTCAGTTAAAGCAAGTTTACCTGGGGAAATCCAATAAAAATACTTTATTTCTTCTTGTAGAGAGTATCAAAGTTGTTGATGGCACAGGAGATTCATCTGCACTGGGATCAAACATTGAAATAGATATATCAACATTGTTGGCTATATTTCCAAAGGAAGAAAAGGAAGAAGAAATCAAACAGGTATGTAGTATCTTTGTGTAGCTGATTTCGGTTGTCTTGCACATCAGGAAAGAAAAATAAAATAAGAAAAAATACAGCCAAGTTTCTAAGGTGAATGAAAGTGTTTTAAGAAGCAGATATAGTTAGCTCTCAAAGAAATGACGATCAGAAGTATGTACTTTGCCTTATATTCCTTTGACGAATTTGACTAGCAGCTCATTGTGGTTGTTTGCTGCTTTTCTTGTTGTCACAAAAAGACTTATTGCCAAAAAGCACACTTACAGACAGAAGCATACCTGGTGCTAGGCATTTCACCTGCATGGATCCTAGCCTTACTCCTTGAAGTTCTGAGTTCACGATCCAGGGTCCTCTCTGATTCTGGTGCTAGGCATTTCACCTGCATGGATCTTAGCCTTACTCCTTGAAGTTCATGACCCAGGGTCCTCTCTGATTTAGAATCATAGAATAATGGAGTTGAAAGGGGCCTAACCTCTGGTCAGTGCAGAAATCCAAATCAAATTTAACCTCTATTTAACTAGCGATGGAATTTTAACATCCGATTCAAAGTCCACCCTCCCTTTCTCTTCTTCCCCAGACAGAGTTTGCTGTCCTGAGACACATCTCAGAACTCCGGAGAATCTACACCTTTTACAGCAGCTTAGGATATGACCATTCTCTCGACAACACATTCCTGATGACAAAGCTTCAGTTCTGGCGATTCTTAAAGGACTGCAAGTTTCATCACTGCAACCTTACGCTTGCTGACATGGACAGGATCCTGAACGGTTTGCATTCCTAATGTGTATCATTAAGTGGATGTGTTTATACCACGGTCAGATTGGTAGGCTATATACCCATACTTGGGTTAACTTGCAAATGATGGTTCTGCAGTTAATGAGCTGGCTTAAATCTATGCATGTTGGAGGAAAAAAATAATGTTTTAAACAGAAGGCAGTAAAGATAGAAATAGCTAAGGACTAAGAGAAGCTTTGGATTTTGTAGCTTGCCAATTTATAAGTTACCTTTTGGACATCTTTTAATGTATGGGTGCTCCAGCTTCCCTCTCCTTGAAAACATATATTAAAATGTCATGTACAGTATTTATTTATTCATTAATTAATTACATTTCCTCCCCAGCCAAGCAGGGCTCTTGGAGCAATTGATAAGAAGGCAGATGCACAAGACAGTCTGTTGGCAGTTACCATTTAATCAGCCAGGGTTCCATTCTAAGGAACGCTGGGATTTGTGGTTTGGTCATTGATAGTTGGAATTCCCATCTGTAGTCTGGGGAACACCAGAGTTCTCCAGAAAAAAAGCTGGGCCTCTTACCAAGCTACGAATCCAAGGATTCCACAAAGTGGAGCTAAATGGCTGCAATTGTGCAGCGTTTTGTGTAGACAAAACAATTCCAAAGTCATGTGGCCCTTGTGCAAAATGGAAAAAAACAAGGATTGGCAATCCTAACCATGATGATTTGCAGTCAATTCTGACTTACTCTTTTTTGTGTGTTTTTAAGGTAGGGAGGACTTGGAAGTGGTTTGCCATTCCCTTCTGGGGCCACTTTGGGACTGGGCAGGTTGCCCAAGGCTACATAAGTTGACCCTTTTCCCCTGGAGAACTCCTGACACCTAAACCATCCACCCAGCCAACACCACTTTTGATTAGACCACTTTTATCTTAAAAACAGGCTGCAGAACTTGGTACAGCTTTGGGGGGGGATGTCATCTGAGTAGCGGGTTGAGCAGACCCTTAAATCATCAGGTGGGTGGGATATGGCCACTATGGGTGCACATTGAACGTGAAATGGATGTTCCTAGCATGAATTCCTCAAAAGATCCCTGTTCTCGGTCACATTGGCCACAGAGACAAATATCAATTTTCTGCCTGAAGCTCACAAAGAAGTAGCCATGTTCATCTGGCTCTGCATGTTGGCAAAAGAGAAATGAGGGGAGGCAGCCTACGGTAACTCTTTAAAGACTAGCGGGTTTGTTTCAGTGTGAGTTTTCATGGATCAGAATCCATTTCTTCAGACACGGGAGTGCAAATACACGCTGGCGTTAATCTCCAGCAAAGGGTGCAGATAACAAAGTAGCTCTGGCAGGCTGAGACCTGTGGGCTCTTTTAGAGAGTCAGCCCATCTCATATTTGGTCTTCCTCTTTTCATGCTGCCTTCCACCTTTCCCATCGTGATGGTCTTTTCCAGAGACAGTAGGACAGACGCAGTTTCGGCATTTTGGCCTCCAGAGAGAGTTCAGGCTTGATTTCCTCTAGGACCCACTTGTTAATATTTCTCATGGACAGTGTCATTGAAGCGACCAACATGAATTTGACCCAACTCCGGGAGGCAGTAGAAGACAGGAGAGCCTGGCGTGCTCTGGTCCATGGGGTCACGAAGAATTGGACACGACTAAACAACTAAACAACAACAAAAAGAGGAGCCAGCCTGTGTGATCTTAGGTACGTCGCATTGTTCTAGGGTGACCCTAGAAGAGGGGAATAGAAAGCCACTTCTGAGTACTCTCTACCTAGAAGGTCCCAAAAAGGGTTGCTATAAGGCACATAATTATTTGTGGGTAAACCCATCCATACCATTTCCTCTTTTGCAGAAAATGCACCCACATAATGTTTATATTAACAACAAGAAGAAATGCCTAGAAGCCCTATGTTCATAGGATAGAGGACCTTGTTCTCTCAATATCCTTGTTGGGTTTTTTTTCACTTCATTGCATTTTTAGTTGGTCGGATAAAGATATCAGCTTACAATGTGTTTTGGAATTCGTTTTGTGCCAACACAACTCTGTTGATGGCAATTTCAATCCAAAACCTCTAAGGGAAGCTGCAAGAGTTTGGCCCTTAATAGTTTTGCTGGGGTAGTCAAGTCTGATTATTGAGATCTGGTTGTGAAAGCTGGCTGAGAACTGCCATCTGAGCTAACGAAGATAAAAATCAAGAGGAAGAGTGTGGAAGAAAGATAAGGGAGATCAGCTGTATTTTATTTTATTTTTATTTTTTAGTGGAAAAGGCTCAGCATAAATATTTTGGAACCTCAGAAAAAGAGCCTTCTGGCCTGAGAGCCCTCCCCTCCCTCCGTGATTCCTAGGCAAGACAGTGGACCGGTCTGTCCTAGCATTTAACATTTGCTTATACCAATTTTCACGTTCTATATTTATAAAGGTGCTCTGGTACTATCAAACCCCTTATGTTTCCAGTGACCTTTCTCCAAAAAAAATCAAAAGCTGGGTAAACACTGTGCCCCAGAACATCTCGCACACAGAAGGACCCTAATGACATGTTTCTGCCAACATTTCACTCCTGTGGCAGGCAATATAATTTAGTGGTGGCCCACAGACAGATTGGATGGCAGGGCTTTAATTATCTTCTGTACGTAGATTGAATAAGCCAACCCGAGTGTCACCTTGATCACTCACTTTCCCTCCTGCCCTGTTTCTCTGTCTTGTTGATGTTTTGTTTTGCAGATAAAACTTTACTCGAAGAGATCCATTCTCCCTACGAGACCTTGCTGCTTAGAATGTTTTTGACATACCTCATTTATTTATCATTCCACATCTACCATAAAGAGTTTAAGTAAGTGACTTCTCTGATGAATGAGATTGTTCGGAGCACACTTGCTTGGGAGTTAATCCAATTAAAAATTCACCTGGGCTTGCTTCCAGAAAATGAGTTACAAGAGAGTAACTTGTTTACTGGGAGATCACCAGTTTTGCCTATTAGTGTAACTGGCTTGGAACACCTGGATGCCTTTTTATTCACTGTTACATAAATGGGGAGTAGTGATATTGATCTAAAAATGAATCAAGATTGGCAACTGGGTAATCATGTGCATCTGAGCTGATGTAATTAGTACATTAAATTGACATAGAAGTGTAATTCTGAAGGAGAAGAGTTTTCTTGATGGAGAGATGCAGCATGAATGATGTACTAGGTGTTATCTTAGACAACGCACTCTTGAATCGAGAGAGAAGATGGAGAGATGCAGCATGAATGATGTACTAAGTGTTATCTTAGACCACGCATTCTTGAATCGAGAGAGGAGAATGTATCTTTTGAGGTAGCATAGATCGCCTCTAGAGTTCTGCATTACTTGGTTTTTAAAATGTTATTTTAAAAACCAAGTAATGCAGAACTTGGTTTTAAAATAACATTTTAAAAAAATCTGTTGCCTGATGAATTAGGGTGCATTATTTGTAGAAATATTTCAAATTTGTTAATTTAGTCAGTTCATCAGTAGAAAATTGCAGCCTCATTGCTGGATAGCTCAGTAAGTTAGGTATCTGGCTACAGAGGCAGAAGCTGGGAGTTCGATTCCCGGCTGGGCCTATTGGTAGAAGAGCCAGCCTGGGTGGCCTTGGGCCAGCTGCACAGTCCCAGGGCGCCCCCCATAGAAGGGAATGGTAAATCACTTCTAAGTACTCTCTACTTAAAAGAATCCTAGAAAATCACTTCTAAGTACTCTCTACTTAAAAAGAATCCTAGAAAGAGTCGCCATAAGTTGGAATTGACTTTGTGGCACATGATTATTATTAATTAACAAATGGAATGTGAGTTTTTCTAACCATACAATGTTGTTTTCACCCCACTGTTCAGTGTAGCAACGGCTATCATGCACTCCTCTTTTAATTCTAGTGATAAAAGTCCACGCCTGTTCAAGTGCTTTTCCAAATTGATGCAACAGAACATCAATCCCAATGCTTGCCAAATAAAAGGTAATGTCTTCCTGCACAGGTAGTTTCCTGTGCTTTCCTGGATTCCTCAGGCTTAAAATAGAGAGAGAGAGAGAGACATTAGATTTGAAGACAAAAGAGCAAACCCAAACAAAAGTTGCGACTCAAGGCATTTTCTCCTGCTTCTCTCGACAGGTGCCTTGTTTAGTGACCATGAAGACAAAAGAGCAAACCCAAACAAAAGGCATTTTCTCCTGCTTTTCTCGACAGGTGCCTTGTTTAGTGACCGGCAACAAGCAGTCTACGCGATCAATTACATCGACAAGTGCTGGGAGATCTATGGGGCTTTTTGTAGACCAAACTCTGTAGCTCCTTATGAACCTACCATGAAGATGAGGCACTTCCTTTGGATGCTGAAAGTAATCATGGTCTTGTGGCTTTGTTTGGTTTTTCTTTTTTGATTTGGGTAGATCTGCTTGACTATACACAGACTACACACTTATTCATTCAAACATAAATGAACCAAAAACATTTATTTGAAATATTGAATACTGGCCCAAACCCTGTTGCTTCACACAGGGAATCACGCTAGAGTAGGCCCATTGAATCAATGGGAATTTAGTGAGTCAGCTCCTTTAAGTTCCATTGATTTCGAATGGGTCTACTTTAACTGTGATTTATTATGCTAAAGGAAGTCACAGTTAAAGTGGAATCATTTCAATCAATGGTGTGGAGGAGTTGGCTCATGAGATCCCCATTGATTCAACAGGCCTGTTCTAGTGCAATTCACTACACTAAGCAACAGGATTTTGCCCATTGACTATTGCCACAATCCTGCTTTTTACAGCACATGGAATGGGAATCTGGAAGGCCTGGTGGATACAGGTCACATGACCAGGTGCACACCCAACATACAACCAGTGCTTTGGCCATTATGCAGTTTCTTTGGTTTTCATTTTGAAGAATATACCTGTGTGTATTTTAGTCACATCTGGCTTTTCATTTTTTTTGTGTGAGCCATTCTGGGACCCTTTACAGAACATAAAAATAAAGAATAGTTTGTAGAAGAGAATAGTAACACAGCACAAAAGGATGAAGTCACCGGTTTTGACGGAGACCACAATGTGGTCAACCAGGAGGGTGCGGAAGCGCAAGCCTGAAAACATGCTGAGGTGCCAAGCAGTTTTTTCTTCCTGCCTTCCTTTACAAACATCAAGTGGGGCTAATGTTGATCATTTCCCTCTTGATCTCCAGGATTTAAAGCTCATAAGCAAGCAACTGACAGCTACCAAAGTTGTTAATATTCTAGCCAAAGACAACCCTTACGTCTGCGATGGCGAAGACACTAACTTGGAACACGAGGTATGGATTTCTAAGAAGGGCAGAGGAATTGGCAGGGAGGCCTGTTTTGTGCAGTGGCAGTGGAAGGAAGCGATCAGAAGGAGGTGGAAGCCCAGAGCTCCCTTCTTTTTGCAGGTTGTTGGGGCCACCCACACAGGAGAAACTCTAAAAAGTTTTCTGTTTGCTAGGGCCGTGTTCGAGACATTTTGCCAGCTCAGCCTGAGCCCTCTCCTCCCATAGTCAAGGGACGTAGTCCCTCAGGGGAGACAGATTATTTTGGTACCCCAGGCATAACTTCTCATAGGTCTCTGTCCTGGCAATAAAACGCTACAACAATAATTAAATAATGTCACAGCGTAATGCGAATGCCTCATGCCTAAGGCGGCTGCTTCATTGAGCCTAATGTGAGTAGAGGATGGAGGATTGGTTGGGCTGGGGCTCAGTAGGTCCAGCTTAGTTACCTTCACCTCTTACGGGCTTCCGTCAGGGCTCAAAATAAGATTTGTTAGAGACTCCGTAGAATTCTCTATCTGATAGTGATTGGAACAAGACTGGGTGATCTCCAGAGGCCTCACATGCCTATCTCTGGACTTTGGAGGGTCACGTCGGCTCTCGAAGCATCCACACCCCATGCCCCCCCCTCACAAGTGAAGATCTTTTACTGATAAATCCCCTTCATGCTGTTTAGTGGCAAAATGTTGTTTTCAATTTTTCCCTCCTTTCCCCCCCCCATACTTTTTTTTTTGGAATGTGCTTTGGGTTTAAGATTTGGATTCCAAGGAGTCATTTTCACAGAGCTTTGGGACTCCCAAGGTGATCTTTGGCCCGTCGCCCAACCCCTTCCTCCAGACCTCCCTCAGTAGCGAGGAAAGGATTCATAGCCCCTGCCCTGAGGTCAGGGCAGAAGCAGCGAGGAACAAGTCCGATTCCTAAGCTTATCAGAACTTGGCCAGGGCCCTAGTTTGTTCTGGTAGATTCTTGAATTTCGACTCCAATCATGTTCCCTCCAACTGGACTCCTTGACTCAACTCCTAGCTCCCTCTTGACAGCTTTTTTCATCTTTTAACCTTCACACTTATTCTCCAGATGCCTTTTGGAAATTAATAACGTTCATTTGCTCATTCTCTCCGTTCTTTCTGCTTTTTCTTAAGCTCGTTTTCCTTGAATTTTTCGAAGCCCTCCTGGATTGTGCTCCGATCTATGTCACGGATGAGATGCTCAAACAACAAGCGGAAAAGGCCAGCTCAGGAAGTTCTTATATAGCAGAGCACTACACAGAAGGGCCCGGGGTTTCTCCTTACCTTCTGGATTTGTCCTCTGGTCAGGTCAGTGAACCCACCACCGCCTACAGCCGTGGTTCCCAGCCTTGGGTCCCCAGATTATTTGGACTAAAACTCCCAGAAGCCTGCACCACTAACTGTGCCGGCCAGGATTTCTGGGAATAGTAGTCGGAGAACATCTAGGGATCCGAGACTAGGAACCACCGGTATAAAGGTCTATAGGGGTCTTAAGAAGTTGTTCAAATGCTAGATTTTTTGACTTGACAATATATCCTGTCGGTCTGTCTCCTCTGTAATGAAATAAGCCAATTGAACATTAATGGCTCAGAAGTGACAGCAGCCAGCGAATCTTGCAGCATCCGATGGATTTCTATTTATTCTCCCCAGGGAAGTAGCAGATGCTGTACTGGGGAGGGACCATAGTCCAGTGGTGATAGAGATACTTTGTGTGCAGAAGGTCCCAAGTTTAATCCTGGGCATCCCTGGGTGGACCTGGAAAAGTTCCAGTTGCCGCTTGAAACACTGGAGCGACGCTGCCAGTCAGAGCTGACGCTATGAGGTCAAATGCAGAATAAGGCCGCTTCCTGTGTTCTTAAAACGGATAGGGCTGTTGGCTTTCCCAGCAACACCTTACTCATCTTTTGGGCTTTTTAAAAACCCCAGTCTTTTCAAACTAGAACCACAACCAGCGGCGAAGGGAGCAACGAGACATCAGATGTCGTCAGCCTTCGCCGCGTCACTTCCAGGTCTTGTGCGAGCAGGATTGTGCATTTCGTCGACGTTAGTAAGACGAAGAAGTCTGAGGTCAGTGAAGGTTTGGATTCTTCACCTTCTGATTAATTCCGTTTCTGTCCTGCTTTTTTTATACCGTGAGCTCCGGGAGTCATACAACACATGGCCTCTTCCCATCCTTCCTTTATCCTCACAAGAGCCCTGCGAGGTTGGTCAGGCTGGGAAAGAGAGTTCTGTAATGCCGGAGGAATGGAAACCTCCAAAGTGAGGCCTGCCGCTCTCGCCCCCTGCCCCTGTTACATTTCGTCGCAGTACAGCTGCATTTATTTATTTATTTGACTTATATCCCGCCCATCTGGTCTGGTCGACCACTCTGGGCGGCTTCCAATAAAATATATACAATAAAAACGTAAGGATTTTTACAAACAATCCAAACACATACAATAATAAAACAAATAATAAATGAAAAAAAGAATAAAGAAAAAATTAAGTATTGACAGGAGGGAAGGCCTGAATGTACATCCGTGTTTTTAGTTGACTCTTGAAAGTGCCCAGCGTAGGGGCTGCACGAATCGCCGGAGGAAATACAATTAAAAACAAAGGCATTTGTTTTTAATTGTATTTTTTAAAATAAAATCATATTGTGAGCTGCTTTGGGTCCTGGCCTTTGGAGAAAGATAGGTTGGAAATAAAATAAATAAAATAAAATTAGGTAAAATGTGGAGCAATGGTAGCTGAGCCACCTGTTCTTTGCAACCACTGCTATCTATCTGTTGTGTAACTGGTGCAGCAGCAGGTGTTGTGAACATTGGGATTGTAATCCTGTTGGAAGCCAGTGAACAGAGTGTTTTAGCTGGTTTCTAATGCATTCTAAGGGGCTTTTTCATTTTGCTTGATGAGGATTTCGCTTAACAGCGATTTCAACGGCACAGATTATCCTCGTCAAGCGAGGCACCACTGTATCTGTGTTTAGTTTTGCTCCAGATTTTATCTTTTTCTGCAATACCAAAATGTAAGGTGACACCTTTTCTGACCCACTCCTGATTTGTGTGATTGATCCAGATCTGGTAAATTTTGATCCCAGCAAATTGGGACATTTTGGGAGCTGTGGTTCCCCAGTTTTGAAGCTCTGGATTTGCGTTATCTCGTTTCTGCAGAAGGGAAAAATCAAGGATGGAAAAAAAGAGGAGGAAGCATCTCGGCCTGGTTCAAAATCCCTCAACAGAGAGAAAGCTGCCTCTCCTCAGTGTGAGTGCAAAAATGTCTTGCCTATGGAACTCATGCACACTAGTGTTCAAGACCTTGTCTGACTTTTGTGGAAATGAATGTGAAATGAACATGCTCAGAGCTGAATTATATATCCGGCTGTAGTATAGGCTTTCGCGGGGGACGGTCTTTCTCCAGAGTGCTGTAAAATTGAATCTCCCCCATCAGCACCACCATACATAAGGTGCATGCACAAAGAAAAATAGCAGATAAGGGGAACTATTAAGTTATACTCTTCCCCTGACATGCTAGCTTTCTGCAAGGATGGATTTTCAAATAGACAGTTGCTAGCGCAAGAGGGCTTCTAAAACTAGATGGATTTGGAAAAGGATTAGGCAGATGAATGGGGGACTTGGGTATAAGTTTTGTAAGTTTTGGCTTACAAATGCGATGGCTTCGTCAGATAAATGTTAAAACTAAATGGGAAGAAGGGAAAGCAGGGTTGGAGGCTGGATCTTAAGTTTCTTTTGTCTGTACGTTGTTTTGGCATGCCATGGAGGACGATGCTGCAGACAAAGTAATGGCTACTTTGTGAATAGAGGGTTAGCACCCACTTCGAGTGGACCCCTGACTTGACTAAGAGCTGCAAATGTTAGAAACATTTGGTCCTTCACCATGTCCATTTCCACAGTGTTGCTCACTAGTCCTGCATGCTGTCCACTTTCTATTTTTCAGCAGCCACGGCCGGGAACATCACCTTCCTCCCTACTGTGGACAACACAGATGAAGAGTCTGTTCACACTCTGAAAAGCGCGGAGATGGAGCAAGGGATGATCCTGGGTGCTTCCATGAAGGAATTCGCAGGTGGGAGACACACAAACACACATTCCATAGCTCAGGATGGCCTTTCCAATAAATAAAAAGTAGCAGGATTTATGTTATTCACTTTTTACTTTTAACCTTCAGAAGATAGCAATATAGTCATTTTAGTTTGTCTGACCATTTAAGATATATATATTTGTTCTGTTTCCTGTACTTCTGGATTTTGGTGGTTTCCTTGGTATGCACAGGCCCACAAACTGACTTTTCTATTTAATATATCTAACAGGTAAACTTCTTTGAACCTTTTATTAGCTTTATGAAATACTCAAATCAGAGCATGCTAAACCCACCCACTTTCGTTGTACATTTTTAAATATGGCGACTTTCTGAAGAGAAAGGCTGCCTATATCTATACAATTTCAAAAATTGGAAAATTTGTGATCAACATTTCATGAAAAGCGACAGATAGAGGGGTCTTCTCATACAGTTGCTTTCCATATGTGGAGAACGAAAGAAATGTGAGAAGGGTGGGTGGAAATAACATGTTTCTCCTTCTCACATGTGATGTTCATCAAATTACACCCAACTTCTGGTGGTTCTGTGGTTTAACAACCTCCCAAAGGCCATGTGTTTAACTTCCTTGCAAAGGTCTTGCAAACTGAAGACCATGGCTCCATTGGACACATTGGCAACTGCAGGTCTTCTAACTTTCATTAATGGTTAGTCACTTTATTAGTGTCAGTTCCATTGTACTTGTTCTTTGGTATTTCCCAGTAGCTGATCAGAGTGCCTTCCAACCTAGGAGTCTCATCTTCCAGCACTATTTCTTGTTTCCACATCGGATGACCCTGCTAGTACAGTAGCTGTAACTGTCTGTATTTTCAACATTGGTTTTAGCTTCCCTGATACACTCAAACTCTCACCCCTATCATATTAAGATGTGCAGTAAGGGCAGAGCTGACAGATGTACTGTGGCCAAATTCAAAGTTATTTTCCTTTTCCACATATGTTCACTGTGCTGTGATCTTGGGGAAATTCTTTTCTACTAAGCAAAAATGTTTGAAAGTTTCCAGCTTTCTGTCGTCCTGCTTTTGCTGTTATGTCCCATTAGGCTGCTTCTAGTTTCTGGCAATCCAGAGAATCTGTGAACTCCCTGAATCTGATGATTAACAGTCCTGCTCAGATTTTGACATACTAACTGCTGTGGAAATTACACTGAGCTGCGGAACTGTGGGAGTGAGAATTTGTATTACTGCCACATGAGGGCAGTAAAAGATAAACGAACACATGGAGAATTAAGGAAAAGGCCCTGTGGTCCTTAGAGCACGTAATTGCAAGAGCTCTATTGAACCACTAAAAAAATCAAACAAATTGCAAAGTTTGCTTGCAATTTGTTTGATTTTTTTAAGTGGTTCAATCAAGGTGTCCCCCTACTCTTGCATTTGTGTAGCTTCATGAAAGCTGAGTTTTTCTACATCCTTGGGCTTTTTTCTTTTAGCGTGTGTCAAAAGCTGAGTTTTTCTACATCCTTGGGCTTTTTTCTTTTGGCGTGTGTCAAAGACCAGATCATGGCTGAATGAGGTGAGCGACGCAATGGATTGCAGAGATCAGCAGCCTTGCACACGCGAAAAAGAAAACTGTCTTCTCTCCGTTAAACGATTTCTCATCTGGCCAAGTTTTCTCTCTCAGTTCTGATTGGCAGCAGCTTTCTGGGACCCTGTGAGAGATGTATTGCCATTCCTGACCCCTATACCCTATGAAATCAGGGACGTGGTGGCGCTGTGGGCTAAACCGCAGAAGCTTGTGTTGCAGGGTCAGAAGACCAGCAGTCGTAAGATCGAATCCACGCGACGGAGTGAGCTCCCGTCACTTCTCTCGGCTCCCGCCAACCTAGCGGTTCGAAAGCATGCAAATGCAAGTAGATAAATAGGGACCACCTCAGTGGGAAGGTAACAGCGTTCCATGTCTAAGTCGCACTGGCCATCTGACCATGGAAGACTGTCTTCGGACAAAACGCTGGCTCTATGGCTTGGAAACGGGGATGAGTACCGCCCCCTAGAGTCGGACACGGCTGGACAAAAATTGTCAAGGGGAAACTTTACTTTACTTTACTATACCCTATGAATGGGAGGTCCATGAGTTAAAACCAGAGACCTCAGGGCTGTCAAGGTATACCTCTCCCATGGCCCTTATGATGCTTCTCTTTCCAATACAGCTCCGACTCCTCCTTTCCCTTGCAGATACACTCCAAAGGGCCAAAAACGAACAGAAGGACAAGCTCAATTTGTGGATGAGTCAGATCTACATTTTCTTTGCCAACAAATTCTTTGCTGGCTACAAGTACCTGCAGGTGGTGCAGGCGACGGTTTCTGACAACAGGATCCAGGAGGTGGAACGGCGTGAGCTGAGGAAGGTCCAAGAGGAGGAGGAAGAAGCAAAGTGAGTCTTGGACCTCCTTGTTTGGTGCTGACTAGCTTCTTCTCCCGGCACCCTCTCAGGCAGCCAAATCCTAGGCGGGGTTGACGGACTCTGAATATTTCCATTGGAGGTGTGTCGAAGATGATGTGGCTCTTTATGGCAACACTGTGTAGCAGAAAATAATGTAGGAGGCTGCCTTGCAGCAAATCAACATTATATAATACCAATGGTGTGCCATCAAAGTAGATTTTGATTTATGCAAACCTTTCTAGGGTTTTCTAGGCAGAGAGTACTCAGAAGTGGTTTCCTTTGACTGGGGGTGCCCTGGAACTGTGCAGCTTGCCCAAGGCCACCTAGGCTGCCTCTTTCTTCAGGAGGCAGAGTGACCTGTGACTCTGCATCCAGATATACCCAACTCACTGGGAAGGAATGGTGAAAACCTGGCCCTTCAGCTGTTGTTGAATTTCGAAGCCCGTTCACTCTGTAGCTATTCACCAGCAACAAGGTCTGATGCAAGTTGTTGATAACACTGTATACTCTTGTAGAAGAATGTATTTCAGTGCATTTATCACCATAGGCATCTGAGAAGTCATGAGGAAGTCTGGAGGACAGCAGTTTGGGGGAAGGAAGCCTGGCTTATTGAACGTCTTTGTTATGGAGGAAGGAAGAGGCATTTATCCTAAGTCAAGTGTCATTTAGGGAACCCTGTCTGGAGAGTTGGTTGAAGTGGACAGATTTTTAAAAAATTCCCTAGGAAAGTGTTTGTCTTGGATAATGCCTCTCAGAAAACAGTTGGTCAAGTAAGCACACCAACGTTTAAGAGCAAAAAGCTGTTTCTTTGTCCTAATATCCATAGTTGTTCACGCTGCAAATTAATGTTACTTTTGTGAATGCATCTCAGTAAGAAAACATGGACTTCATTGGCAAGTGTAATTACTCAGGCATGGCAGGTTTGAAGGAACCCATCTTTGGAAGGAAAACATTTCCATCCCCTTCTGAACTATGAAGTTGGCATCTTGTCTAGTTCTTTTATTGGACCTGGCATAGATAGATAGACACTGAAATTAGGATCCAACTAACATTTATTTTAGATTACGATTGAGACCATCAAATAATCCATACTTTGGGTATTTGATCCTGCATGTTGCCTTCCCATCTGCAATTCCATAAAGTCTCCTTTTAAATCATATGGTCAGTTTTCAATTGGATTTTCTACTCTAATCAAAAACATGGCTGTTTTGAAGGATCAGTGCAAGAAACATTCCTTTCCCAGAGAGACACTGTGTCTAAAAGGATGGGTCCGTAGAAGACTTACTATAGATTCCTAGACTCTGCTGACCTCCAGGTGTTTGGGACTGCAACTCCCAATAGCCCCCATCAATGTGGACCGTGGGCTTTGGAGTCAACATCCAGAAGGCTCAGCATGAGAAAGATTGATTTATTGCCCTACTTTGGTTACTAGGGCCTCAGGCTAGGTAGGGGAAACTCCACATTTCTTGCATTTTGTTTTGCTGAAATGGAGCGCAAGGGCCTCCAGCTGGGTGGATGGATTTTGTTTAGGACTGAGAGGGTGTGTGAGAGCCTTTTCCTACAAGTATGTTATACTAAGTTTGATCTCAAAACTCCAAAGGTGCAAATACTTGGTGCTGTTTCTATATCCACCTACCAAGTTGTTTGTGAAGGGATATACCTATTACTGGGAAGGTTGCCACCTTCGCTTGTAATACAGTAAGAGAACATCCAAGGTTTGTTTCGGAACAGTGTGGTTGGCTGTGTGGATGAGAAACAAGACATTTTGATTTTTATGATACAGCTTTGCCTCCAAACGGGTAAGGGACTCTGGAGATCCGTTTTATGCCCAGACGTTTGAATGCGTTAACATGACTTTCCGGTGAAAACAAAAACTGATTCTTACTACTTTAGAAACGACAATCAGACAATTCTCTCTCCTTGTCCTGACTACAGGCTCAATGCTATGAGGGAGGCAGAAGAAGCCAGAAAGCTGGAAGAAGCTCAAGCTGCCGCAGAAAAAGCTGCTTTAGAGCTTGAAGAAAGTATGAGCAGAGAACAGGAAGAAGCGTCTATACAGATACAGTCTCCCCCAAAGGAAGAATCTCCTGTGCCAGCCCCAGTGCCGCCAAGTACCAAGACAACCACCGGAGGGAAGAAGAAGAAAAAAGCGTAGAGTGGTCATCAGAGCCTGAAAGCTGCAATACATTATGTTAGCAATAAAGTGTTAGGAGATGAATTCATTTGTAATACCTTTCCTCTGCAATCATTTAAAAAGCCTAGAGCGGTTTCTGGGCACTTCCAAACATAACATAGGCAACCTTATTTAGGCTGCAATCAGATGCACACTTATCGGAGAATAACCCCACTGAATTATAGATAGGTATAGGATACAAATGCAAGTGCAGGCAATACCTTTATAGACCACTCAAAAAAATAATCGTATAATTTGCAAGCTTTTGTGGATCAGGGCCATCCACTTCATCAGGCTTGTACCAGTGTGAAGAATTTAAAAGTCCAAAAGTTCTTGGCAAGGTGAAGTATGATGAGTTCTTTAGTGATCTATAAAGGCATCACTTTTGTATTTACATTTTGTAATGACCACACCGCTCCGTTTTGGTTCAATGGAATCACAAAGATATGTATAGGACGTGTTTGTGTAATTATGAATTATTACTGCATCAAAATGTTGCCAACATTATACCCACAAAGCTGGAGGAAGTCATCTCATTTCATCAGTTTTATTCCAGAGCAAAGAAAAAAGGTCCATTAAAATTGTAACAACGGTTAATTTTATTTTTCCAGTAAAATATTCACATTACAATATTGGAGACACATTTAATCCAGACTAATTTTAATTAATTTTGCACATAAATACTTTAAAATCTAAAAATTGTATGATCAGAGCATGTACGGTTTTGGTAGAAAGATGATTCTTACAAAGCAAGTATTGCTTTACTATTGTCATTATTCCAGTCAATAATATGACTTAATAACCAGTTACAGTCAGTAAAAATGCTCCTTGGGCATTTCCAAGCCATCTTCCTCAGAGTCGGCCCACTGCTGATCAATCCAAGAAGAAAATATTGTTGAACTGTGTTGCACAAAGCTTCTTTACTTCTTCTGGCAAGGGGGGGGGGAAGAGGAGAGAAAAGATTGCAATAATTGAAAAGCATTACTCAGTTGAGACCAGCTCCAGTTCTTGTATACATGTGAACGAATCTGGATCAGCTTCTCTATTGCGTGGTTTGTACATTTACCAAATTCTTTGTGTTGCTACGCCTTTTTTTTTTCCACTGAGAAAAACCAATCGAGTTCCCCCCAGGGAGATACAAGAAAAATCTAAAACAGAAAAATCTAAAAATGCTAAACTTGTGGGTTGTGTGGACTAGAGCCTACAGCCATGCTTCTACAAAACAGTTGTGCTTCCTCAGAAATACTGGGGTCAAATTACAAAAAAAGAGAGGAAAAGATTTAGAAATTGCTGTTGATATGAAAGTCTTTTGCATAATCTTTAGTTAGAGGCAGTGTAGTGCCGTGGCTTGGGTGTTCAGAGATCCAGATTCTAGTTGCCACTTGGGCTTCTCCCAACCTGCGACTATCTCACAGGCCTGTTCCGAAGAAAAAGCAGAACGAAGGAAGCACAGAACTACATATGAGTAACAAATATTACTGCCCTCCTGGAACTAAGTCTAGGTGCATGTAACTGCAAGAAGCGCACATTCTTTGGCCTATTCTGCCTCCATTTCCATCTCCTCCTTCTGTTTCTCTTGGATCTGATTCTGTAAGGTTCTCGGGCAGATCTGCAATTCTGTTCTACTTTGTAAAGTGCCATACACTGTATTACAAACAGTAAAATACTGTAAGTCGTATTAAAGAAGCAGAATACAGTGGTGCCCCGCATAGCGAGGTTAATCCGTTCCGGATTAACCTTCGCTATGTGAAAACTTCGCTAAGCGGATCGATGTTTAATGCGTTCCAAACGGGCACAAAACTCACAGTTTAGCGAAGTTTCCAGGGTCGGGCAGCCATTTTCGCGCCCTCGGTAAGTGAGGGGAGGGCGCGAAACCGCTGTGCGCGGCCATTTTGGGTGTCTGGCGGCCATTTTGAAACCGCCGAACAGCTGATCTGCGGGCGTCGCAAAGCAAAGATCGGTAAGCGAAACGCTTACCGATCTTTGCTATGCGAGTTTGCCCACTGGGGCCGACGCTATGCCTCCGCATTAGTGATCCCGAAAACGGGATCGCTATGCGGATTTGTCGTTATACGGTGCACTCGTTAAGTGAGGCACCACTGTAGTAATAAGTTAAGAAGCAGGACTCTTTTCCGCTTACCATTCACTTCAATCAGGTTTGCATTTTTCTGATTCAAAATTACATACAGTTCCCGCTGATCAGATTTCTTGCCGACAATCCAGTAGTCGCTCATGGCCTTCACTATGATTTCCTCATCATCATCAACCCTGTTAAGAGAGGTCTGTATATTAAAATCCAAGGGGAAAAAATAACAGTACAGACTTTAACCGGCATGAATCTGGATCACAGTTCAGCTTGCTGTTTTAGATTTTTCCATGAGTTTTATAGATTAATCAATTCTAGTCACTGTGGCAGAGTTTGTATTACTGAACCAGAGATCTTAGCGAATGGGCCAATAGCAGGATCCGGCAGCTGCAATGGTCATTACTGGAAATAGAAATTGTGGGAAAAAATGTTACTGGTATCCTCACCCCTATCCGGTTCAACCTGGCATGGCTAACAGACATGATGACTTGGGGATTCTGGGAAATGTAGTTCGAAACACTAACTTTCCCAAGCTCTGGTCCAGCTAGCCAAGCACATTTTTCTCCAGGCTACTAAAAGGCATTAGTGGCCCAGACAGGCCAATTCACATCCCCTGGTTTTCTGCTTTTCTTTTCCAACTCACAGCATCTAAAGATTCTTGGAGGTTTCTAAGCAGGTTCATTCCTCGTTGTTCCTCTTTGAGAGTGTCAGTGTCTTCTCGGCCAAGATTATCCCCACCCCTCATGTCTTAATGCCCCACTTTTGGCTGATGGTTATTTATTTTGTACTGCCTGTATGCTGTCTGGAGCCAAGATGGTCCAGTGGACTGAACACTGGACTGGAAAGAGCCATTTTCAAATCTCATCTCTTCCATGAATACATTGGAATTCCTTTGCACGGTTTATCAACGGTATGGCTCAGATGATGTGCTTGTAATACAGAAACAATACTATAACCTGCTGCACAGAGTTATTTTTGAGGATGAACAAAAATACATATAAAGAAATTTGCCTGCTCTGCATCTGAAGTGACAAGAAGGGCTAGAAACTTCTCCTAGGAAGAGAAACTCGGAGTCCCGGCGGATTAGAGAAAGTCCAGGACCTTTGACTACTTGAGGCAAAGGACAAAGATGTACAGAAGCCAGCAGACTGGCATTTTGTGTTATTTCAACACTGGCAAGCGTACATTGTCCATGAAAGCAGAGGGCACTCACACAAGAATCCACTCTCCTAAACAGCTCTGCAGCTCCCTGTTCAGGTGGGAGCCTCACTTTGTCTGATGGCCGGGCCATCCCTCACTCCCGCTCAGAGGATATCCTGTAAAGGGCCGAGAGGAGCGATAGCCTGCCAACGTGTAGAGCGTTGCCCGTTTGCTGCTCCAACATTTAGCACTACTGATGATGCTACGGAGAACATTTACCCTTCATCACCTGACTCTGTCTGCAGCCTGAAAGCTAAACGAGAACTGAAAACCCCTCCGTACACGCTGCTCGCTTTATAAATGGGAAGCAAGGAATGTTCAGATCGTATCTCATTGCTCTCCTTGGGTGAAGGGGAAGCCGTGCAAGTCACCTGGTGAAGTCACTGTTGATGTCTCCAAGAATCTTCATCAGGTCAGGATGAACCGATGTAAGAGAGATACTGGGCGTTCTCCTCATATGGATTGTACTTTTCTCTGCCAGGTTCATGTGGTTGAAATAGATAAATTTAAACTGAGGTTCCTTCTCTGACCTAGAGAAACAGACAAGAGGATGGAAACGTCACACATCGCAACAGCAAAGCTGCAAGTTTACTTCTCACTAATTAAAAATGTTATCTGCATTCCCACTGTTGTCCCAGTGTAGGACTCAAGGGGGCTCACAACCTGAATTAAAACAACAGCCATTTAAAAGCACATTGAAGAAAAAGCACAATGCTGTGATTAAAAGACTGTTCCTCAGCAGTTAGTTACTTCTCTGCCTCTGGCAAAGAAAGATATCTTTATTCAGACTGGCAAAGGGAACTTCAGAATCAGATGCTTCAGAATAAGCTGGATCTAACAACTGCTGTTATATGAAGAAGAAGAAGGGAGCAAAGCCTGCCAGCGTGGTGCACCACATAGTAGAATGCTTTCCAAATTGTGTTACATGCTGGAACAGGCTGACCAACCTCTTAGACTTCAGAACGAAGCCTAACTTATTGTATTAAAAATGTTTCATATACTGGAAGACAGGCTGACTTTATTGTTCGTAAGGTCTGTGCTCTGTGTAGTGGGCAATGATCAGGAAATGGTCACTAATAATACACAGGAACATATGGGTATAGGACATGCTCTATGTACTAGAGACTTCTTCTAATCTTGGGTGGGGGGAGGCGATGACCTGCAGACTGCACACAGCTCCCCCAAAAGCCATTTTTATAGTGTCAGAAGCCAACCAAGAAATTAGTGGCGTGCTCTTAAATTTCACCAGAAAAACATTACCAATAATAAATAAATAAATGAAAATAAAGGGGAGGGGGTTTGGGAAGCCTTGTTTAAAAAGAAATAAGGTTTCCTGAAGGCATCTGTTTGCGTGCTTTGAAATTTGCAGCTTTTGTGCGAAACGTCACTTGACACTTGAAGCCTAAGATTAGCTACCTTGGCTCCACATTATATCAACCCGGCTACCTTAGCACCAGGCGAAGCTATATCAAATTCTCAGGATCCCACATTAAAGTTTAAGGCTGACTGAACGAGAGAAGCTTTAACGTGCTGGCATCAACTTCTCAACAATGGCAACAAAAGCTCAGTTCAGTTACTAACCAGTGAACAGTCTCATCTTGGGGCAATCATGTTGAAACAGGGCATTCAGTCAACCACTTTGATTCAACTCCCCACTGCAATGCTCCAGGGGTTTCTGACTTAAGTTCCCTTCTGGTCCTGCTGGCATCCAGAATTCACTAGGTGGATTCATGAAAATATGGGTGAGGGAGCCAATACACTCTCTATGATTGTGACTTCCTGTACAGTTCAATTGACAAGAGGACAGCTGTCATTCGGTCCCACTACAAAAGCCCAAGAGCTTGTCTTACTCTAAAATGAGAATTATTTTTCATAACTGGGCAGAGAACCAGAGAATCCACAGCCCAAAAGGTGGGAATTATGAAAACTGCCTGGAATAGACACTTATTTTTCACTCGGCTCCAGTTATTCAAGTGAGAAACATCTCTCCAAAGAAATACAGGCCCTGGTAGATGTTAAGTCTTCTATCAGTGCAGTTCAGAAATCTGCCACCTTTCCTTCTCCTACTTTTGTTTTTCTCCCAATTAGTGCCATAAAACACCCGTGAAGATGGCATGCTTCACACCCAACTATGCTGCTCGAGCCTGCTGGGTGGAGGAGATGTGACCCCGTGTAGAATTTACTTGAGCTCTTTTCTTTCCATGAAGAACATTACCTTGGAGAGCTCATAGGACAATGGAGGCTTCTGCAGCCAGGCTCCCTCCCAACATTTTTGATCTGTTTGTCTCCAAACCTGGGATGAGAGTGAGACCAACCAACCAAATCTACCTTTCCTGTCCCTTAGTAGACAAGGTCTCAGCATTATAACAAAGACTGCAGACATCTTATTTTAGTTGATTTGCAAATCACCCTTATGAATATCAGGGGGCTGGATGGCTGCTTCACTCCAGAGGAGAACCCACTGTTTCATGGGGCGAGAAATGCCATGGTGAGCAGAACATTGGAGAAGATGCCTCGGTGCCACAAGGTAGTCTGGAGAGAGTCTCTTCACCTACCTCTAGCTGGCAAACCTGGCTGCTTCATCATGTGACTGCATCGAATCACACGGGTAGCAGGTGAAAGAACCACCTGTTTGCTCCATGCTGACAGACCCAGTGACCTGAAGTGCGGCATCATTCCATGTGCAACAGGCACAAATTGGGAGGAAAAGACAAGCAACGGCCAATGGCAAAAGGCAAACGAGAAACAAGGATACAAAGGGTGGGAAATCTGATGCCATCCAGGTGGGAGTGTGGAAAAATGAGTGCAACAGGCACAAATTGGGAGGAAAAGATAAGCAACATCCCATGGCAAAAGGCAAACGAGAAACAAGGAGACGAAGGGTGGGAGTGTGGAAAAATGATTAACTTTTCCACACTTAGCTCCAGATGTTGTTGACTGCAGTTGTCATCAGCACAGTCAAAAGGGGAGGGAGGATGTGAGTTGCAGCCCAAGAACACTGCGAGGGAGTAAAGGAGGGTGAACATAAAGGAGGTGAAGGGACTCCTGCTAAGAACCATGGCCTCCATCTGCTAAACCAACGTCTTTTTGTTCACAAAACAAAGGAAAAGAAATGCATGGATTCACCTCCTAACCAACGTCTTTTTGTTCACAAAACAAAGACAGGAATAGAAATGCTCTTTCAACAGCATGGAGTCACCTCCCGTTCACAGAGCTCTCAAAGCCAAGTGGATGTTCTGCAAGGGGGAAAAAAGGAGGACAGTACGAACCCTGACAGCCTCTTATTGATGTTGTATTGTTCACATATATCAGAAGCTAAGACAGTGAGCTGCGGGCCAACAATGCTGTCGAGTTTACGGCAGAACTCCAGTGTAAGCTGCGTGGCCGCTGTGAAAGAATTCAAAAAATACCAGTGAGACTTCACAGCCAGAGAGAAAGCATTGGAAGAACACACCAGATGTTATTTGCATGAACCAAGAGCAGAATCTGCTGCCTGTTAAGACACAAGCCACTGGGCGGCCGTAAACTGGGGTACAGAACCTGTGGTCTCCAGCATGTTTTTGGACCTCAATTCTTATCACACTCAGCCATTCAGGCCAGTGTTGAGGGATGATGGGAGTTGTAGTGCAACAACATCTGGAGGTCCCTACATTACCCACTGCTATGTTCATGAACGTGACAAAATTTCTGCAAAAAATATTTATATCTAAAAGGTAATATGTATTCTGAGCAGACCAAAGATCAGATTTAGCAATCCTTATACACAAGTACATTTATGGAGAAGCTGGGTTCCCCCCCCCTTAATTTCCTGTCCTTTGCATAGTAAAATTCAGAAGTATAGTAAGTTTAACTGAATTTAATGGTTCTCCTTTTACAGGAAGAGGCTCCCTCACTTCTACTCTATCCTGTGGAATTTCTTTGATACATCACTGATAGAATCCTGGTATTCAGTGAGGGAAGGAAGCCTTAATCTGGTTCACATAGATAGGAGAACATTCAGACAAGTCCTTCATTGTGAGCCACTTGTAAAACAACATACAAGGAATGAATTGTCAAACTCAGTGCTGCAAATAAGTGCAGAGAATGTCAAATTATGTGTCACAGATAAAGAGGCGTTAACCAAGAAGCTAATTTTAAATCTGCATAGGTTATTTCAAAGAGTAGTATTTGATACTCACCATCAATCATAAAACAGACAGCTGCACTCATAGCCTGCAAGAGACAGAAGATTTATCTTCAATTTCTTCTCTGTGCCCCATGGATATGCTTGACTGTTGGATTTAATCTGAGCAGTACTGCTAATGTAAAGAGCCACCAGGGTACACAAAGGTTACTGAACCCCTAGATAGAGGAAGATTCCTTAAACCAGAGATGAGGAATCTGTTCCCTTCCTGAACTCCACCTCCCATCTGCCCCAGCCAGCATCACCAGGAATAAAAGGTGTTGGGAGCCCAACAATATCAGGAGAACCACCGTCGTTATCCCTGTTTTCAATCTCACTTAGGAAAGGCTGGATGGGGAAAAACAGGCTGTCATCTAGTCTACTCCAACACATCTCTGATGGCTAACAGGCCCCAAATTCAGCTTTCCTCAGGGCCAGTACATCAGATTTATTAAGAAGAGATGTCTGCAACGAATCAGTCTTTAGCACACTGCAAAAATAAATGCTTCACAACCAGAGATGGACAAGAACCACTGGTTCGATGGTTCGGCCTTTGGACAAACCCAGGGATTCAGCACTTCCCAGCCCCGCCTCCTCCAGCGGGCGCCCACTCAGACAACGCGTAGAGGAGGCAGGGCAGGATATGGATGCCTTTAAAATATTTCTACCCCGACGATCTCGAGAGGAACCAAGGCAGGGGAACACTGCCTCTGAAGGGGCACGCACTGGAGGTGACAGGGCTGAGAAGCACCGAACACCTGTTCACCTAAAGGACAAATTCCCACGAACACCAAACCCGTGGTTCCTTTACTGCATTTTGCCTGTTACTGCATTATCTGGGTGAGCTTCAGATGTGATCTCTTGCAATTGTGATGCTTCCTCACCCATCTTAACTTGCAAAAGGCCTTTTGTATTTCTTTGCCATTTCCTTTGGGGATTTTCTTTCTTTCTAATCAGCTTTTGATTCGGGTATTTTTCACAGGTGAGTGGGCACATGGGTGGTTTATGTATTTATTTTTTCTTAGCTGCCCAGGGCAGTGGCTCACCACTAGATGAGTGGGATATAAATGTAAGAAATAAATACATTTTAGTTTTGGAAACACTTCCAGCTTCACGATATCTGCTGGATAATTCTTAAAAGTTCACTGTTGTGAGTAACAGAGCTGCCTCCTCGCGATGGTTGTGGTTGAAGTGGAGCTCCCTCCCTTCATTAGCAGAAATAAAGAAGGACCAACAGCTTAATTATTTGCATGCGTACTCAGAAGTATGTCTTACTTCCGTGGAATTTATTTCATAGCAAGCAAATGCAAAACTGCAATCTTCCAAAGGGGTACAAGCTGAGAACTTTTCTTCCCATCACTGAAAAGGGCATGGATCCAGGTCACATCTGGCAGGAAGTTAGAACTTGAATTCTTACACCCAGAGTAGAGTTATACTATATTTTAAAAAAATTAGAGAGGAGCTTCTTAGTATAGCCATCAGGAAAGAGTCTGGCAGTTACCTTATATACAATTAAATGGAGCTCTTCATAAGCACCGTCTGTATTTACAAATATTTTGGGGAATCTGCATTTTGCTTCTGGGTCGTTCAGATTCAGAGGTCCTGTGAGAAACCTAAAAGGCAAATATGGAAATGGTTCAAATCAAGCTATCCAGTTTCAAAGTGTTAGTCCTTTTCACTGATACAGGAAGAGGCTAACAGACACCAGATAACAGAACTAATTTCTTCTTGCTTTTAGTTTACTCCATCCTTGATTCATGGATTGGGGAAGCACATGGCTACTTCTCGATAGAAGAACACATAAACAAGGCCTATTGATTTAAAAAAAAAAACACAATAGATGGGGAAAAACTTAGCTACCTTCCATAGTGCTGTAGATTTCCAGGTATTTCTGCATGTATTGGTGAATCTCTCCCTGCCAACTGAAAAGAAGGATTATTAAGGAAACATTTCTATCCTTTCCCTCCCCCTCATTACCCTGTGACTGCTTTCACCAGTCTGGTATACTCAAAACCTGATGGATGACAGGACTTCCACTATCCCCTGTCGGCGCTGGGGATGATGAGTGTCGTCCTAGCGGGCGCTGGAGTTGGGGAAGGTTGTGCTACAGGATTTACAGGACATGGGCAATCTGGCCTCCTTTTCTCCAAAGAGGTGAAGGGAAGTTCAGCAGAGAAATGCTTGTCTTTGAATGTGACAGGACAGTTCCCATGAAAAGGCAAATCAAAGGACTTACCTCTGGTTCTATGTATCTTGGAAAGAGAGAGGTGGTCAGGTATCTGTACAGAATTCTCATGTCATCTTGTTCCAATCCACTCCTGGAATGTGAGAAGAACTAAGTTATGGCACCTGTTAAGTAGGCTTGCCAGCTCTTCCAAATACTGTAATTTATTTATCGGTTACACATTGGGTCCAGTGAGCAACTGCAGGCTACGTGCATGGCTTTCTTCCTATGACAACAACCCTGCAAGGTAGCTAAGGCTGAGAGATTGACAGGCCCAGGTTCACCCAAAGTGTCTCATGGCTCAGTGGGCACCTGAACCTGGATTGCTAAAGTGTCAGTCCTACATTCCAACCACGACACTATACTGGCACCAGAAGCCAACAAATACACGTGTTGCATCTGGAATATCGGTCCTTTCAGCCCAACATTGTCTCCGCTGGCTGGCGGCATTTATCCAAGACATCAACAAAGAAGCATCTTGCCTAGTCCTGCCATTGGAGATCTTTTTACCTGCAGATTCCAAGAGATCATATGTGGGATTTGAAGAGTGTAACCTACCTACATGCTCTGCCACCTACATGCTCTAATCTTCTCTCTCACCAGCTGTATTGTACATCATGTTTTTCAATAACTGGCTGCATCAATGTCTGTACAGCCCTGGATCGAGATCAAGGCTTCTTAGTGCATTAGTAACCCAGGTTTCTGTAATATCTTCTGGGCGAGGAAGTCGTTGTCTCCCCTGATAAACTCTGACCTCTGCTCCAAAAACAATATTTAACATTTCTAGGACAGCCAAGTCTAAAAGGCACACAGTTTATCAACTGGCTAAGGCCTGCAATCTCAATTAATTAACTGTTTTGATTCGATTCGATTCAATTCAATTCAATTTGTATACTGTCCATCTAGCCTAAGGCAACTCTGGGCAGGTCACAATATAATCAAACAACATCATTACAAATATAAAATTCAACATATAAAACATCATAAAATATAACAATTAAACAATCACACATTAAAACCTAAGGTTTTAATAACTGGCTGCACCAATGTCATTAAAACCAAAGGTTTTAATGTTGATTGTTTAATTTTTGTTATATTTGTCTCCCCCTCTTCCTTTTAAATTTCTTTTCCCCTTTAAATTTTGCCAACAAAATAAAACTGAACTGAATTGAATTGAATTAAACATAAAGTTTTAATGTGTGATTAAAACATTAAAACCTAAAGTCACTTTTTCTGTTTTCTGTATCTTCACCTGGTCATGGAGCCCACTGCCGTAGAGGTATGTATAAAGACAGAGCAACTGCACTTTCGGTGTCAGAAAAAGTGGATTTTGATCCATGAAAGCTGACACTGAAAAAAATCTGATAATTTTTAAAGAGCCACCATATTTTGCCTTCCCCTCTTCCTTTTCTTTTCCCCTTTTAATTTTGCCAGTAAAATAAATTTAACACAATCAGGCTTAGTGTAATGATTATTTGCATGTTTTTTTTTAAAAAAAAATAGATTAGTATAAAACACAACTCTACAGAGTGAGCCAGTCAGCTGACCTTCCTTTTCAACAAATTTGTCTACACGTTGCCAGTTTCTACAAAAGGTTTGATTAGCCCTGTGAACAAGGAACTGGTTCAAAATGATGATCTGTGATGACATTCAGCAACACAAACGTTCAAGAAAAAGGAGGGGGAAAATGACTTCAAATTGGGATTCACTTTTTCCCACGACATGCAGACCTAAAATCTTGGGAAAATGCACCAAAGAACCCCTATTTTCATCTCCCTTCCAATTTGTAATTATTTTATATGGTCATGGGTAGATTATTTCTTGTCTAAGCTTAGAACACATTCTCTTTTGACTCCTTAATCACTTTTGAACAGGAAATCCTTGAACTGCGACTTGCCAAGGAAACTGGATCCTCTGTGCAGCTGTGCCACTTCAATAAACACCCTAAAATCAAAAACAGCTGAAGAGCAGCCCACAGGTTTAAATTACATCGAGGCTGCAAACTATAGGCATGTCTTTGTTTCTGTTTAAAATGCAAGATTTTCTCTCAATGAAGTCATGATGGACAAAGAGTGCCTTACATGACTTGAAAATATGCATGCACTCCCATTCTTGATTTATCTTGTCTCTCAATATCAAAGGCACTGAAGGGTGTGGTCTTGTGTTGGGGAACTGAAGACTCCCAAGACCCTAAGAGATTAAGTCTCCTGCAAGAACTGCATTCTTCCCTTGCAAATCTCTCTCCCCTCCTATCCCACAGATTTCCTGACTTCAGAATTTAAACGGCTGGTCCCAAACATCCAAAATGTGCTTGGCTGCTTTTATTTTCTCACTCAGAATAAAGGGAAAATTGGTTTGAAGGGGTGCTCAAAGGAATCCAAGATATGCAGGGTAAGGGAGAGCAGACAGAACAAAGCTTTTGTGCCCTGAGTCATGCTATCCTGTATAAAAAATCACCCGGGTTCATTCAATGAAGCTGAACTGTGTAAAGCCCAGGGATGATAAAGGTTATATTTCTTCACCCAGCAGTGACCACCACATGGGAGGGGGGAAAAAACCTCGATCTGGATCTGCTGGCGCATCTCTGGGTGAAGGGCTGTAATGTGCCCATGTGCATCTATCTGTCTAGATGACTACAGTGGGAACAAAATGAAGGACCCGAGAAGCCTTTGGTTTGGGCCAGAACAGAGACCTTCTATTTTAATTCACAAGAACAAATTTTGCATCCGAGCCTTTGGTTTGGGCCAGAACAGAGACCTATTTTAATTCGCAAGAACAAATTTTGCATCCACTGCTCACACTCAGGATAAGGCAGCATGTTCTCTATGTGCTTGGGAGATAAACATGCACCTCAGTGCTACATATTGGCTCTTCTTTTTAAAATGAAAGATAAAGCACACATGCAAGAAGGCATGCATGAGCATTATGTATGCCTGAGCACTTGTCAAATGCTACATGCAGATGACATGCTTCTGTTTCCCACCAAGCATGGCTCTGCATGCGCAAACCAGTGCAACTATATTTATAATACTTATCATTCATTCTTGTACAACCAGTGCAACTATATTTATAATACTTATTCATTCTTGTATATACCAGATGAGTTGATCATTGTAGAGGAATGCAGTATATTTGACTATGCTCAGACTTTCTTCCATCCTGTTGATGAATGACTGGATTTTCAAGTAAGTCATTTTATCCAAAGGAAAGAAGCTGATTCCACAAAAAACATCCAGCAGGTCACAGGACTGTAAATGAAGCGTCTGCAGGTACTGAAGAATAAACACGGGGGAACAATATCAGCAAAGTGGTTTTGCTTAAACACAAGGGACTAATTCAATATAATTGAGGCAACAGTTTTAGGTTCAAGCATCATCTAATTAACATACAGCAACAGTTTTAAAGCTTTGATCCTTGCTTTGTTCCAGAAGCTTCCCACTTCATCTGAACTCAGGGAAATATGGCTTATACAAACCCATGAGTTGATCAGTGAGACTATCAAGCCATGCCATCAATCTTGATTTTTAAAAAAACTACATCTGATCCCTGTAAGGGAAAGGCTGATGATCCACAACAGAGAATGGTCCTCTTTAAAGTGACCACTGCCACCCAGCTGGACTTTCCACGGGTGGAATGAAACTTGTGGAAGTCAACACAGTTAACGGGTTGGGTTATCAGTTTCATGACTCGGGAAGCAACTAAGTACCAAGTGCAATAGCCACCAGCGGCTTCCATGACTCTGATACTGTATGTGGAAAATGCAACAGAATTCCACCAGCCCACGGCTTTAAAAGAGAACCACACAGTCAGTGTCTTTCCACAGCCTACAAACCTAACATTTCCAGCCATTTAGCATTAAAATGAAGCACATGTATTGTGACACCTGCAGAATGTCTGTTTTTACAATTTTCTTTACAGAAGACAGATGCATGCAACATAAAAACTAATTCCCCTGCAAAATAAGCAAACAAACGACCCACTAAAGATTTATTTTGCCAAAACACTGATTTTAGAGGAGGAGGGAGAGGAGGTTAAATGCTTGACTCTCCTGTGGCCCCCTCAGCCCATGTGAAGTGCTTAACTCTGCCTTAATCTCATGAAACCATGCCTACGACTCTCAGAAACCCACAGCCAGTCTGGTTTGGAGATTTTTGGGAACCGAAGTCCAGTAAAGGGACTCTTCCGAGAATATGTGAAGGGCCACATGTGCCTCAGTTCTTATTTAGAATATCCCTCGGGACATACAGTATTACTATTTCTGCCTGAAGCAGGACAACCTGCTGCATTTATGTTGGATGGGTGGGCAAAGGATGGCCCCTCCAGATGTTGCCGAACTGCGACTCCCCTTATCCTTAGGCAGCGCAGACAATGTTGAGCAATGCTGAAAGTTGCAGTGGAGCACCACCTGGATGATTTCACCTTGTCAACGCCTGTGATAGGAGAAGATAGAGACCGGATGGCTACTAAGTTTACGAGAAAAGGTATCATCTGCCTCCACTCATCTACTCTTCAAGAAGTGCTGGTGGACTTTCTAAGAATACTAAAAGTTTCCACAGAAAAGCCTGCAAAGTGGTAGCTCTGGCTCACTGTATTCCTTCAAACCAGGTCTCTGGGAGCCTAAAGAAACAGGGCAGCTAACTTGCTCTGGATACATTCACAACACAAAACTTACCCGATGGAAGAATTTCTCCAGCCTGTCTTTCAGAACTCGTACACCTCCATCCTCCATGGCTTTTCGGAATGTACCGTTAAAAAGCTAACAATTATTTTGAGAAATTAAAATTGGCAAGTGAGTATTCCCCAAGTAGACCAGTTCAACAAGATGTTACCCAATTTACAAAAACAAACAGCTCAATTTTTCAGGATGACAGGCTCCAAAATACTTAAAAGAGTTTGTTCATTGGGATGTTATAACTAAAGTGTTGGACTGTAGTAGCTTTAAGGCTATCAGATATTCTGGACTTCAGTTATCTGCATGGCTCGCTACTGGAGATAGTAGTAGAGGCTGATGGGAGTTCTAGCCCAAAACATCTGGAGGGTGCCTGGCTGGGGAGGGCGGAAATCTGTTATAGCTCTCTATCTTAAACAGCAGATCGCCTAGGCAGTGAGAGAGCAACAATTACATAGCTGGGAGATAGCTTCCTTGACTCGGATCAAGGCAGACAAATATCTGACTAGCTGGCAGAGCAGGCAGGAACTGCCACTTACAACTTCAAATGGAACAACAAACAGTGAGGTGGCACAACTCAGGAAGATGAGAAAGTCATCTTCCATAAGCGTCTAAGTGTTAAGTCCCATTCAGCTCATGCAAAGCCATGGCCCGAATCAGGATCTCAAGGGCTTGTTTTTCACCCCCAAGAAGGTCCTGATGCTTGTTTTCCTTCCAGCTGCAGGGCACCTGGCAAGCCGTTTTTAAGAGAGAGGCGTTTCAAAAAGTAGCTACTGCTAGAGAAGCCGGAGTAGAAGGTCAATATGTCTTCAATTCAACCATTTAAAAAAGGGCAAGTGAGTCTATGAAAATGACAAGGAGCACTGAAAGTATGTCGTTGGATTCCAGACAGAAGGATCGCCAGCGCTGACTCAAGCAGACGGCCCTTAGGAGGGATTGAATGGGCACAGGACCGCCAGTGAGTGAGATACAGACAGACCTTTTCAAAAACAAGGGTGTGCATTTAATGTTCACTGATTTCCCCCCCCCCGCGCTAATTTGTCCAATGTTAGTCCCATTGATGAATATTTGGTCAACGCTTATTAAAAATTAACACTGTTTCAATGGGTCTATGCCATCCATTTCGATTCAGGCCTTTGACGCCAAGGCTTTTGCATGGCTTGACTAACATTGCCTTGGCTTCTTTCCTCTCAGACAACAACAACATTCACTGTGGTTGTCTGCTTGTATGTATATTCCTCCCAGATCTGTTCCCTGCAGTGTTTGCAGCCCCCCATTTTATCTGTTGCCTCTTCCTTTCCCACCTATTTCTCCTTCAAGCTTAACATGTAAGCCATCCTTTTAACTTCTCTACTGTCATGATTGTGTGTGCTGTTGGGAAACAGGTAGTAAATACATATTCCATCCTAGGGAGACCTTTTCTGTGGCCTAGCAAAAAGGGTAAAGAATTAGATCATGAAACACAAAAATCAGTTTGTGTTTCAGTTTTGATTTTGTTAGGGAGCAGTGAAGGCTGCTTCTTCCACACCAGCACACTGAAAACTGACAAAATCATATTTAAAAAAAAACATACCTTATACATGTTATAACACTGCTGTAACACCGAAGTATAAACTTTGTCCTGCAAAATACCCCAAAATCAAAGAATTAATTCACAAGTAATAGCAACAAAAGTATTTTATACGTGACCATATATAAACTCTTGTGGAATTGGTTTATTTTTCAGAAGGCATATTTCCCTTTCGTAATTTTAAGAATGTGTCTATGTAAAATCGCACACTGTTTCTATATAAAATAATGATCAGCGTCCCCATTCAATACTACCGAAGAGTTATGTTGAAGAAGAACTAGCAGTAGGGCCTCCAAACTCTGTTGTCTGTTGCTGCCTAAACAAAAGGTTAGTCAAATACGGACAGAAAGAATCAAACAGTGGCTGAAATCCAGTACTGTAAAGTCACAGCATGTAAGTGTGATCACATCATACGCTGTATTTTAGTAATTAAATGTTTCGTATCCTGCCTCCCCCAAAGGTTCCTAGGTTCTCCTTTTCAGACATTTCAGACTTCCTGTCCCTGTCCACAGTCCCAAAAACATTCCCCAAGACCAAAGAGATCTTAAGAGAGACTAGGAACTTGGGGTGCTGGGGATGTGGGGGAGAGATAGGCAACTTTTAATTACCGAAATATGGCCATGGCGGATGATACCATCGGACTTCATCAATGTAATATTAGATTCATAGATTTCAGCCACACAACAAGCCCAGGTAAGGTTGCAAATCTGTAATCCTCTAAACATAATGGGGGTGATCTCTGAGCAGGCATGCATCGGGTTGTGCTATTATTTAAGCCAATTGTCGCAACCATGCTATCTTGTTATCCATGGGATTAAAGTGTGGCCTAATTTCAGAGCTGGCTATACCAACTGTCCAAGCACAGAGGTTGCAAAAAAGTAACTCCTTCAAGCAAATCAAACCTAGGGAGGCCATGATCTAAACGGCTCTTCTCTGCAAAGGCATGCGAAACAGTGCTGGGACACAGAAGGTCCCAGTGCCAAGGAAACCTTTGGGGAGCTGGAGAAGTGCCAGACACAAGCATATAACAAAAGTCTGTTGTGATGACAGAGCTTGCTTTCGCTTCCAGCAGGCTTTTTCAGCTGCAGTCAGAGGTACTTAGGCCAGTTACAGTACCTGTATCAAGTAAGACTCAACTAGACTATGGCCCTGGACAACTGGGATAGATGAGATGATGAGGCAAGGCTTGGAAAAGTTACATTTTAAGACTATAACTCTTGTAACCCCTCATTAAAATTATCTAGATGAGGCTGCATTCGTTTTACCAAATCTGAAGATAAATCAGTAAATATTCTGAACATGATTTGGTAAGATGAATGATCAGATGACTTATGAAGTCACGTTAATGCCATCTTTAATTATCTAATTTGCAAACGATCTCAGAAACAACAGTTAATCCTTACCAGTAATTCTTCCTCTTGATATTCTACAACTGGTTTGCCATCTTTATGTTTTTCTATGATCGGATTCCGTACAACCTTGGAGTGGGAGAAAATAAGTGTTATTTGTTCAAAATATTTGTTTGGGTGCTCTGTCCTCCTCCTCACGGTTCAAAATGATTAAGAATGCAACAGAAGACTCAAATACCACCACAGCTCCCTTAACGCATCAATATCACCTGACTTAAGAGGCTGAAAGGATAATTGGTACAACCAGGAAGTAGCAGGGATTTCCAGGGAAGGCTAGGAGCTAAACAGCTCCCGCCACTCAGACGGACAGTACTGGGCTAGACGGACAAGAGGTCTGACTTAATACACAAAACCGAAAGTAAACTTTCCAGCAAGGCAATTATGTGTGTTTCCTTGGACATCCATCTGTGTTTGATGGCTTATGAATAGGAAGCATGCAGAGGACGACGGCCTGTGTCTCTGCACGGTGTTTTTCCAAGGCTTACTTTTCTGAAGCTGAAGTATTTGTTAAAGGGGGTAAACCCCATACATTTTAGTCATCAGCTTGCTATCCAAGAATCCAGAACAGTTAAGATGCCTATCTTCATTTAAAAAAAAAAAAACGCACGTGTATGATTTTTTAAAATTTGCATTCTCCAACTACATTGGTTCACAATTTGTTTCAGAATCCAGTCTAATTTACTAATGGCACTCTAAAACTTCTATCGCACTAAGATGGTTATTTGAACCTGTCTTGCTTTCTGATCTGTCACTATTACATGTACAGGATAATAAACAAACACGCAGGACCTTTATTTTATGTACTATTTTTCAGTGGTGGTGATGCTTCAGTATGCCTTCTCTGAAACGGTATCTTCAGTTCTCTCTCTTTAAAATCCATGTGTTTGAACATGTATTTCATGTTTGTTTTTTAAATCTGGATTCAGCCTAATGTCGCTAATTTTGATATTTCATTGTTTTGAAACTGCAATATATTTTGTTTCTGTAATCCCAGTGATTATAAATATTTAGACAAGGACACCAACATTGTTTGCAATTTTCCCCTCCCAAACAATTAAGAAAATCTGACCTTGAAACTGACTATAACCTTTATGATACATGGCACAAATTTATTTCATATGTGAACAAACACAGAGATACAAATGAGCCACTGCAAATCCATGAAGGTCTATGGAAGAATTCTCTGAGGTTAAACTTAATGAACTAAATGTGCACTAACAACACTCTGTAAAGAGCTGTCAATTAAATAAATTATTCATTTAATGTAATGCCTTCAGCAGTATTATCTGGCAGGTTTCAGGGTATTCCTTACAATGAGAGGAACTGCTCTTGAGAACTGGGAGGAATTGAGTCGCTGGTACAGCGGTTTAGGACCTCGATACTTGGCGGAACGCTTACTCCCAACTAGTTCTACCCGCGGCAGCCTCGCAAGCCGGGAGGTGAGGCTGAGGAGCTTGACGACGAGGGAGGCCCGGAAAGAAAGAACTAGAAACCGGGCCTTCTTGGCGGTGGCTCCTCGCCTCTGGAATAACCTGCCTCCGGAGATTCGTGCTGCACCCTCGCTGGGTACTTTTAAGAACCAACTAAAAACGTGGATGTATAGGCAGGCCTTCCCTTCCAGTTAATTCCTGTCCTCTTTCCTTTTTTTTCTCTTTATTTGATTTATTTTGCATTTTTCCCATCTTGCAGAATCATTTAATTAATTAATTGTTATAATTTTTTCTTGAACTTATTATGCTTTATGTTGTAAGCCGCCTAGAGTGGTCAAAATGACTAGATAGGCGAGGTATAAATAAATAAATAAATACACATGTGTTTATGTTGCCCGCGCTATTCTGAATCCTGCGCTCAGTATCTGGGCTCAATATTGCTTAAGGTAAGAGGGTGGTCAGATATAGACAGAATGCGTTTTCTGTTAAACGACAGGGTGGAGAAAGTAGCATGTTTCTTAGCACACATAAATGAACATGACAAAAATAGCACAGTTTGAACCAGCACTTCCTCCTTGAGCCAGATTTAAGGATCTTCTGATGTAACTACTGGCCTAATTATTATTATTATAAGATAGATAGGATAGGGTGGAGAGTGTGTCTTGCAACATAAATAGTAAAACTACACTGAATCTGAACAAACTTTGATATTGTTCCACAAAGTTGCAAACAAGTTTTACTGAATGTAGTTTTTGACTAGGTGTTTTGTATATGCCAATAAAGGCTTTTGATTGATTGATTGGATAAATTATTCAAAGAACAGGTGAACAGACATCGTCAAATATATCTCACCAAATGTGTGTGAGCTAAGTGTTCGTTTAATCCATGTTTTTAACAATTTCAAGTCAATGGCTGAAACACAGTAGAGTATGCCCACTGAATCAATGGACGTACAGAGGAGTTGACTTGCCAAATCCCCACCTATTCAGTGGCCTGCTCTAGTTGTGACTCACTACTGAACTTCAGCCAGCAGGTATGATGGACACATTGAAATCCTTTCCCAGCATTCCATTCTGAAACAACACTGGATTTGATCAGAATCATTTCATATCAATCCTTGGAGAGGAAAAAAAGACCTTGTGTGTTCTGATAATCATATTTTGGACACGGCAGGTCTAAATTATTCAAAGCCTAGGCTGGCCACAGGTCTCACTCGGTGGCCTCTTCCTTACGTAGCCATTTCATCGGGCTAGAGCAGAAGGAAAGAGGGGAATGGAAGAATTCCTCACTTTCCACTTTTGTGGAAAGGCCAACTAAACTACACCTTTGCTGTCTGAATGGTAACCTAGCGGAAGCCATTCCATCAAGACTGCAAGGAAGAGGGAGATGACTGCCGAGAACCTAATTCCATCAGGATTTCCTGACCTTAAGAGACAGCTACCTAAATTGCTTCCACTCTAGATGTTATAAGATGAGTAAATTTAAGATGTGGTGCCTGAGCTTATTCTGGCCTGCTTCTCCTTATCTGTATCCTTTTCTTCTGTGACATGGCTTATTAACACAAGACTGAAGCCCCTGCATGGCCCTTTAGCGTTTTCTTTTTGTACTGGTGTGTAAGCCACTCTGGTGACATGGCTTATTAACACAAGACTGAAGGCCCCCACGTGGCCCTTTAGCTTTTTTTGTTTTGTTTTGTTTTGTTTTTGTTTGTACTGGTGTGTAAGCCACTCTAGCACTTGTGGCTAAAAAAGTCGAGTAGCATGCTTCAAATAAGTAATTTTTAACTTCCTCCCCACCTTTTTGAGAATATTCCAAACAGTTCTCAGAGATACAAAATAAATGTTTAACAAAACAGTTATCATGTATGTAAATACCATGACCATCCAGAAATTTTCTTCAGGTTCATCGAAGAACTGTCTATTCTTCTGGGTATGGAGCGATTTGGCAGGTTTTGTAGGGCTGAAAGTCCTAAAGAAGGGAAACATAGGAACGAATATGTTAACGTTTCCATTGAATTATTAATTTGGACAGCAGCTTTCAATAAATTGAATTTGGATTCATCTATTTCTTAAAACTCATAAGATGAATGGAAAGAGCAGTTCAATTAATCAGGCATCAGGCTGCATTTCTAGAAATGAATGTGAAAAGGGAAGACATGTTTTCTTATTTTTCACGAATAGGAAAAATGCCTCCTCTTAAAGGGTGCCTAATGTTTTGGGAGAGGGGAAAACATAAGAAATCAAAATAGAGTCATAGAATTGTGAAGCCGGGAGAGATTCCAAGGTTCATTAAGTCCAATCACTGCCAATTCAGAAAATCCACAACGTCCTTGACATATGCCCCCCCCTCCAACTATTTCAAAACCTTCAGTGAAGAAAACTTCACCATCTTCCAATTGTCAAACAGATGTTGCTATCAGGAAAATCTTCCTATTTTGTTAAAACCTTCTTTTAATCTGAACCATTAGTTTGGGTTCCATCCTCCGAATGGGCAGAAAACAAGTCTGCTCCATCTTCTACGTGACAGCCCTTCAAATACTTGAAGGTGACTTTCCTTTCATCTTTCAGTCTTCTCTTCTCCAGGCTGAATGTACCAACTTTCTCAGCTGGTCTTCATAGCGTTCCGTATGCAGCTGTTTGCCATCTTGGTCATCCTGCTCTTGACAAGCGGTGGTTTGTCAATATCTTTTAAAAAATGAGATGACCAGAACTGGACACAGTTTTCCAGGTGAGGTCTGACCAAATCATAACAAGAGTGAAAACATTACTTGATTTGCACACTATGCATTCGTTGATGTAGCCTAACGATGTTTTAACTTCTCTTGTTGCTATATCACACTGCTGACTTGTGTTCCACTTGTGGTTTATTAGGTCTCCAGATTATTTTCACAGGTAGTAGTACCAAAGTAGGTGTCACCCTTTTAACTTTTCTATTTCTACATCTGATTTTTCCTACCTCATTGAAGAACGTCACATTTTCCATTGCTAAAACTTATTTTGACTCTTTTAGTACAGTTCTCCAAGTTGCTTAAGGCCATCCTGAATCCTGATTCTATCTTCTGAAGTATTAGTTATCCTCCAAATCGTTGAATTTGATAAGCGTCCCTTGAACACCTTCACCTAAGTAATTTATAAAGATGCTGAAACACTTGGCCCAGGACAGAGCCTTGAGGGATCCCACTTGTCCCTTCTCTACAGGATTACAAGGAATCCTTGGTGCTCGCTGGTATAGCCTGTCAACCAACGGCAAGTCCACCTAATATTGTCTGATCCACATTTAACCAACAACAGCAAGATGGCCATTCTTCAAAACCATGCTGAAGTTCACAACACTCCTTTCATCTACCAAGCTTGTGATTCTTTTAAGAAAAGAGATCAAATTAGTACAGCACAACTTGTTTTCAGAAAACTGTGCTAAGTGTTTAGTAATCAGTGTCCTTTTTGAAGTAGTAAAAAGCTGGTTCATGATCTGTTCTGGAACATTTCCTGGTATCAATGCTTGCCTGGGTCCTTCCCACCCTTCAGGGACTGCACCTGTTCCCCAAGAATTCTTAAATATTATAAAGACTCTGCAGTTACACCTGCAAGTTCCTTTAGGAACCCTTGGATACAAGCTCATCTGGCTCTGTAGATCTGAATTCAATTAAAGTATTTAGATTTACCACATTGTTACCCATCTTGGGCAGCAGCTCTTCGCAACCCCTTTTACTCTGCCTGCGCTAGGCTGAGTTCTGTCTTCCTTCTTGAGAGTAAGGGGTCAAGGCAAAGATTTGCCTTTTCTCTGCTGCCCATTATTATTTTCCCATCTTTTCCAAACAGCAGACCTCAAAAATTCTCATAAATAAATATCTCTGAAAATGAAGTAACTTTATTTGTACTTGCTAAATTACTTTGAAACTTTGTTGCATCTCTCTTACAAAAAAAATGATGTGGCAACTTGTTATATTCAAGTTTCAATTAGGTTATCTGACTTGATGTAGCATCTTTAAAATCACCAGGAGAGTCCTTTCTCTGGGTCCCGCCACTCTCGTCGGTGGGTCTGGTAGAATAACAAGAGACGGGCCTTCTCTATCACTGCTCCCAGGCAATGGAACTCCCTCCCACTGGAGGCCAGGTTGGCCCCCTCTTCGCTATCCCTTCTGTAAGCAGGCAGTGACCTTTCTTTTCAGGCAGGCCTTTTCTCATTAATGAGTCCACCCCCCACCCCCAGAAACAGGGTTGCTAAATATAGTTTATTTTATTTGTAAGCCTTCTTGGGTCCTCTTGAGGAGAAAGTCAGGGTACAGATGTTTTAAATAAATATCTGAACATGGTCAAAACAGACTTGTGTTTAGAATGTTGCACCAGTATTGGGAGGGGGGGGGAAATAGCTTTAGACCCCCTACTCCAGACCTGGGCAAAATGCAGCCCTCCAGATGTTGCTGAACTGCAACTCCCAGCAGTCCTAGCCCACACAGCCAATAGTGAGGAGTATTAAGATTTGCAGTTCAACAACATCTGGAGGGCTGCATTTTGCCCAGGTCTGCCATACCCCATCATGAAGCTCACTGGGCAGCTTTGGGCCAGTTACGCTCTCAGCTTAAATTACTTCATGGGGTTTTTGTGAAAAGAAACTGGAGGACGGGATGAAGAATACTCTGTGATATCCTATGAAGACTGAAGGAAAGCCTGGCTATAAATGTGGTTCCTTAAAGACAATTAAAATCTATACGATCAAGTGACTAAGATCAGAACAATGAAACGGGATGTGCAACCTGCTGGTAATGATTACCTTGTGAACTGCACTATGGCTTCACATAACCCAACACTTCTTATTTTTTCATTCTTTTCTATGTCATTGGGATAGTAAAAGAGAATCTTCTTTTCTTCCTGAAGTAAGAAAAGCAAACAACACTGAACAAAATTATGCACACACACACACACAAAAACAGGTTAGAAATTCTGTTAACTAAAAATGTAAGCAGCATATTCTACTTTGCTGGCTTTCTGTTGCACACTTAGTTGTGCCTTGACTGGAAACTGACCAGGCAATAAATGTAGCCACTATTTGGGATAGGTACCCCTTACCCCTAAGGTCTTTCCTAGTCACCCATCACTGTTCACTGTTCCCATCCTCCCCTTTAGACAACGTTCTGACTAAGGTGAGCTTTGCTCATCATAAATTATACACTAATGCCAATGTCTGAAACTGATGTTGCTCCACGCTGCTTTTTTGCACCTCCTCCGATTGCATTACTTAAGTCTTTGTTGGGATAGGTACCCCTTACCCCTAAGGTCTTTCCTAGTCACCCATCACTGTTCACTGTTCCCATCCTCCCCTTTAGACAACGTTCTGACTAAGGTGAGCTTTGCTCATCATAAATTATACACTAATGCCAATGTCTGAAACTGATGTTGCTCCACGCTGCTTTTTTGCACCTCCTCCGATTGCATTACTTAAGTCTTTGTGTTCTATTTATTTTATTTATTTATTTATTGTATTTATACCCCACCTATCTAGTCATTTCGACCACTCTAGGCGGCTTACAACATAAGGATAACAATTAGGATAAGAATTAATTAATTAAATGATTCTATAAGATAGGAAAAATAAAAATAAATCAAATAAAGAGGGGGGAAAAAGGAAAGAGGACAGGAATTAACTGGAAGGGAAGGCCTGCCTATACATCCATGTTTTTAGTTGGTTCTTAAAAGTACCCAGCGAGGGTGCAGCGCCATCAACTGCATCCTATCAGTAAAACCGTGATAGTGATGAAGGTAAATGTAGCAGGCCATGGAGCTGGTCTGTTGTAACAATAAATCCCCTGCTATAGACAGGTAGCACACACAAAACTATCCTGTTATTTTTTAAGAAACTGAGCCCTCCCTGCTTTTTCCTTTCCTCCCCCAAACCCGTTTCTCTGCCCACCCCCACCCCCTCCTCCAGGGCCTGCCCAGGCTTTACCTCCCCTTCCTTGGGGCCCAGCCGTGGGTTGTAAATGAAGAAGCTGAGCAAGGCCGGAGCCAGCATCTTCTCTTGCCCGCTTCCCCCTGTGAAGGCTCCTGCGGTGACAGGCGCCGCCGCCATGCTGAGGCTGACGGGTGCGCGCCTCAGGCTGGCTGCTTCGGCTGCCGCAGCTGAGCATGAGGAGCGGGAGGGACAGGCTGGCTGCGGAAGACCTTCCTGGGCAGCCGCACCGAGCGACAGACCAGGCCTCGGCCCTTCCTTCTTTGCTTCTTTCCCCTCCCTCCGAGGCCTACGGAGGAATACCGGCCGGCTTCTCTCCCCGCCTTTCCCCGCCTCCTTCGCCCCGGAAGAGGAGCCGTGCCGGCAGCTCAGGCCTACTTGTGTGAGGCGCTGGGGGCGGCCTCGGGCTCCCCTTTTCTCCTCAGTAGCCTGGCTTGAGGGGGGAGAGGGCCTCGGGCTCCCCTTTTCTCCTCAGGAGCCTGGCTTGGGGGGGTAGAGGGCCTCGGGCTCCCCTTTTCTCCTCAGGAGCCTGGCTTGGGGGGGTAGAGGGCCTCGGGCTCCCCTTTTCTCCTCAGGAGCCTGGCTTGGGGGGGTAGAGGGCCTCGGGCTCCCCTTTTCTCCTCAGGAGCCTGGCTTGGGGGGGTAGAGGGCCTCGGGCTCCCCTTTTCTCCTCAGGAGCCTGGCTTGGGGGGGTAGAGGGCCTCGGGCTCCCCTTTTCTCCTCAGGAGCCTGGCTTGGGGGGGTAGAGGGCCTCGGGCTCCCCTTTTCTCCTCAGGAGCCTGGCTTGGGGGGGTAGAGGGCCTCGGGCTCCCCTTTTCTCCTCAGGAGCCTGGCTTGGGGGGGTAGAGGGCCTCGGGCTCCCCTTTTCTCCTCAGGAGCCTGGCTTGGGGGGGTAGAGGGCCTCGGGCTCCCCTTTTCTCCTCAGGAGCCTGGCTTGGGGGGGTAGAGGGCCTCGGGCTCCCCTTTTCTCCTCAGGAGCCTGGCTTGGGGGGGTAGAGGGCCTCGGGCTCCCCTTTTCTCCTCAGGAGCCTGGCTTGAGGGTTGGCGGGGTAGAGGGCCAGCTGTGCTCCAGCTGTGTGTGCTGCTCCCCTTCGTGCCTTGTTAAAAAAAAAAAGCCAACGGACACCTCAGACAACGAGAATGACCAGGCAGGAACCCAACGGGAACAAAAATAAATAAAATTAAAATTAAAAATCAGTTATTTATCATGTTTCCATCGTTGCACTGCTCCTCACGGAGGATCAAAAGGCCCTTTTCCAACTTCATAGGGCTCTCCGTAGGGGACCTGCATGGGAAGGAGGTGTAAATGTGCCATTTTCCCACTCCCCTATTCAATAATACGGAATCCTGAAGAAATTATTAATATTGTTTGCATCGTGTATGTGTGTGTGTGTTTCTCTCACTGTTCAAGAAAGTGCAAAGGACCAGCCCCTCTTTTTCCTCCTTGGTAAGCACAAAGCAGCAGTTTTAAGGGATGATTAATCTGGTGGGTAACCATGAATACTTTTTCGACCTTTTTTCATGACAATCCTTGGAAGAACCAAGGACTTGGGATGACGTTCAACTCTCTCCTGAGCTATGAGGCTCTCCAGGCAATTGAGTCAATCTCTCTCTCATGGCCTAATCCACCTCACAGGACTGTTGTAGTGAGGAAGCAAAATGTGTGTAACTTGTTATAAATAATTAATTACTTGTACTTCATTGGTTTTCTGCCTTAGCCAGATTTAGGGTGTCATTTTTTAAATGCCATTCCTGTGTGACAAATTGCTGGTTAGCTATTTAATTTGTTGCTTCTGTGTGTTTTTTTTTCCTTACCAGGCAAGGGGAAAGGGTTAGGGTTAGGGTTGATTCTTTGGGTCATGTTCAGCTTCACTTGGGTGGTTGAGACACACTGTGTTGTTTTTTTTAAGCTTTAAACAAAGTGTCTTGGACCAGCTCTGCTTAAGAACACACAAAGCTGCTTAATACCATGATCCCCACCCATGGATTCCTCTGTCTCTGTTTTGTCTGCAGCAGAGCTAGGCAATGTGGTGTCCTCTAGATACTTTGGACCAGGGTGGATTTGATTTAAATGGCAATTTAAATTAAAAATATTGGATTATTTTTACAAAAATAATAACACATCGTGACTTAAATCAATTTGTTTTAACAATATCATTGATTTGTATCCATCCTGCTTTCAACTACAATTCCCATAATCCTTGATGTTCAGACTGTGGGAGCTGGAATCCAAAATACCTATGTACCACCCCCCATTGCCTCTCTTTGGTCTGCACTCACTGGCCACGGCTCCCTATGTTTTCCCCACAACCCCAGCTGGACCTTGGGCTCTTCTGCACACCGAGCTGATGCTCTAGCTCTGAACAAGGTCATCCCCTTCTCTACCTTGGCAGGTGCTCAGACACCGTGGACAGCCACCTGCTAGATCTTTGCATCATGGTCTTCCGAGCCACCTTCATCAATGGCAGCAAACTGAGCCTGGGGTGCCTAATGGCCCATAGCAAGCGAGCGGTCAAGAAGTTCGTCAATTGTGATGTCATGCTGGACCCAGCAAGTACGCTGTGGTGTGCTGTGCCTTCAACCACTGGACCTCCTTGGTGACAGGCACCTCGTCCTCCTCTTCCACCGGCCAAGGTAGCAGCAGTTCGGGGGGAGCTGCTGCTGTTGCTTGCTTACAGCTTATATTTTAAGAGGAATTTTTAAAAAAAAAGATGACAAAAAGCCATCTTCTGTGTTGTCAGAATACACTACAAGCTTGACCTTAATTTTCAATTAAGCTTGTTCTCATTAGATAAAAAGGCCTTGCAAATTGTCAACTAGATAATAAACTGAATTCATTTATTGAAGCTTCTAGTTTCAACATTTTTCATGCCCATGTTTTTTGTTTTGTTTTTGTCTAAAGGGAGCCAGGAGCTTGTCTCGACGGCCTTTGAGTACTTTTCAAAACTTGGTCCTTGCATGGTTCTTCTGAACGTTGCCCTTCCTGCACAGAATCTTGAGCCTGTATTGCAATGAGAGAAAACCCGTTTGTGTGCTGGGTTGTGGGGTTTTTGAGTGTGTGTGAGAGAAGGAGAGACTAGGTGGCAGGATGGGTAAGGTGGGATGGAGCGGAGACTGCCTTCTTGCCAGCGGAGCCTTGCGGTCTGACATTGCCTTCCTTGCTTATTCCACCTCTCCCAGTCTCCAGTCCTACCACTGGCAGTGGGTGCCCGGCTGCCGACATCTCCAGCTACATCTTGGCCATCTACAGTTCCCGTCTGGTGATAGTGAAACAAATTGAGGGCCCGTCGACCATACTAGCTGATGCCATCATTCTCCTCACAATGAATAAGGGTGAGCGGCATGAGGTGAGTAGTAGCAAGCCCTTGGCACAAGGGACCTGGCACTCCAGGCTGCTTCAGCGAGTCTTGTCACCTTCTGTATCTCACCAGGAGCAATGTGCAGCCATTAAACTGCTCTCCCTGTTGGGTCTGTATAAATAATTGATCCATTGTCCAACATGTCAAGCACCAGTCCCAATATTGATCCTTGGGGGAATCCTTCCTGATAAGGACCATCCATTTACTCCACCTCTTTACCTCTGAATCTTTAATCAGTTCCAGATCTATAAAAGAATCCATTTAGTTACCCTGTGATTGCCAAGTTTGCTCAGGAGCATTTAGGAAGAGGCCTTATTTAAGAGATTATTGAAAACCCAGGCAATCCGTGTCTACCAGAACACCTCAATTCTTGTGCGTATAAACTGTAAAAAGTTGGTGGGACAGGACTCATTCGTTGCAGGCAAGGCTTTGCCTTCTCTGAACATCTTTCCTTCTTCCTCCTGTGATGTCTAGAAGGGCCTTCTTTTTTTTACCTCTGTTGCTACAAGGGCCAAGGTGACACAGGACACAATTCTCAGTGCTTGGTGATGTTCCTTTCTTGGAGTACAGATCCAGAATCTTGCAACCAGTAGAACCACTGGCCATGCTAGTTGGGGAATACTGGGAGCTATGCTTCCCCAAAATAATTTTTTACAAGCTGTGAGTTCACAGAGGCCTAACTAACTCAGAAAGAAGACTGATGGCCTGGTTTATTCCTGCAGGGGCGTGAAGGAATGACGTGTTACTACCTGACCCATGGCTGGGCGGGTCTCATTGTGGCGGTGGAGAACCGTCTTCCAAAATGTTACCTGCATGTCCAGTGTGATTGTACAGACAGCTTCAACGTGGTGTCGACGCGGGGCAGCTTGAAAACACAGGACAGCGTGCCACCACTGCACAGGTGAGGGGTAGGGACTGGCCTCGCCGTGCAGGACAACAGGGGCAGGGTGGTTTAATTTCCCAGTGTGTGCTCGAGCTGTGGAAATGCTATGCGTTGTGGGAATGGACAAATCCACATCTCTGGCTCTGCCCTCCTTTTCCTCATAAGGGTTCAGGGTAGCTGAGAGTCCATGTGCACGTCTCCCTTCAACAACATTGGTGTTAGGGGCACCGGACACCCCCCTTCATGTCATTCAACATCCATCTATAACTCTTATGCCCACCCCAGAACCTTAACTACACAGCATGCACAGTTGATCCTCTCTCACACACCTATGCGCACACACTCACATCTCCCCTGATCCGCATCAGCCTCCCTGCCTGCCCCTCCACCATCCCTGGCGACCCCATGGAGTAGTTGTACCAGGAGAGGAGCGCCAGCAGGGCTGCCACCCTTATTTATTTATTCATTCATTCATTCATTCATTCATTCATTCCATTCATTCATTTACCCCACCCCTCTAAACAACGTCTACTCGGGGCGGCTTACAGAGATAAAAACACATCAGAATAACATATATAAAAATACAATTATAACAATGAATTCTAAACAGCACATTTCCAAGATGGCATGACTCAAGAAGAGAAAAAAAATTGGAAATCACTTAATTGACTGGAGGGAAGGCCTGGTTAAATAACCAAGTTTTCAACTGGCTTTTGAAAACACCCAGCGAGGGTGCCAGCCGAATTTCAGTTGGGAGAATATTCCACAGCCGAGGGGCCACCGCCAAGAAGGCCCGGTTTCTTGTTTTTTCCTTCCAGTCCTCCCTTGGCGTCAGTCCCCTCGGCCGTCCCTGCTGGCTATGTCGGGTGATTCGGGTAGATCTGGGTGGGAGAAGACGATCTGCCAAATATTGAGGTCCCAAACTGTTTAGCACTTTATATGTAATCATTAACATTTCGAAGTCAATGTGGAAATGGATAGGCAACCAGTGCAAAGAAGCCAGAGTGGGAGAGATATGCTGGTGTTTTCTCACCCCACTAAGAAGCCTAGCTGCCGCATTCTGTACCACCTGAAGTTTCCGCATCAGCCTCAAAGGCAGCCCCACGTAGAGTGCATTACAGTGGTCTAATCTCGAGATTACGAGCGCGTGGACTAGAGTAGTGAGGGCCCCCCATCAAGATATGGTCTTGGGCCAGGCGCCACCACACCACTCACAGCAGGAGCCCCAAACCCACCTTTCTTGGGCCACTGCCTGGAGAGAAATTGTAGCAATTACATGCGTATTCAAAACCGTCTTGCTCAGAACCCTGCCATTTAGGGGGAGGGAGTGTATATACACACCGTTTAAATCCTTAATTAGACATCTCTAAAATCAGAGGAATTTAAAAGCACAGAGAAGCAGCAGCAAAATCAAAAACTTGGTTCTTCTCCAAAGCCTTGTACAAACAAAAATGTTTTAAATTGGCCACTGGAAGATAAGATTCTTGGGGGGGGGGAAACTGACAAGTCTCGCATTGGTAGTGGGGATATTATTAGGGACAATGTCATGGGGTGCTTTTCCTTTTGGTCTCTCTCTCTCCCGCTCTCTTTCTAACACCTTGATTTTAACCCTTCCTTCTCCAGGCAGGTCCTGATGATGCCCCGCATGTCGTACCGCAAAGAAATACTATTTTTTTATGTCCCTGTTTTCCCATAAAGGAGACGTGGCAGGGCTACACGGACCCCGGCTGCTCGTCTGGGACAATACGCAGGTTTGGCTGCTCATTGAACTCTGGATCCTGGGACTTGACCCTTCTCACAGCCTACCTCACTAAATAAATTCTGCTGCTGTAATTCAGTCCTGCCACTAATAAAACAGGTTGTTTATAAGACTGTTGACTTTCTGTCGCTATGCGATGATCGCGCGGACGCGATCAAAGCATAGCGAACAGCTGATCGGCGGTTCCAAAACGGCCGCCGCTAAAACAAAATGGCGACCGCTGTTTTGCCTCGCTAACGAGGCATCCAAAATGGCCACCGCAATGGAGGAAACTCGCACAACGGTGAGTTTTAAGTCCATAGGAACGTATTAAATCAGTTTTAATACGTTCCTATGGACTTTTTTGTTTCACTTACCGATGGATTCGCTGAGTGAGGGTTAATCCGGAACGGATTAACCTCGCTAAGCGAGGCACCACTGTATGTATTTCATGCTGCTATTGCATATGATGGTAGCCTACACATCTTACAGTATATTGTCTTCTGCTGTTCCTCCTTCTTTTCCAGAATTCAGCATTATGTGTTTTTCTTCTCTGCTGACTTCAGCAAATCCTAATGTTTCAATTTATTATTTTCACTTCCTCCTCTTTTTAATTTTTATTAATCAACCTTTTGTTATGTAGCGCTCGCCAATCTCATCTTCCTTCAGCAGCCACTCCCAACACAGAGATTCTTAGTACCCATTGCCCTTTTGCCAAATTGACTGCTGCCATAATCAGCTCAGGGCTGCTGTGTGCTAAAGACCTTTTAAATCAGATTCATGGAATTCATTGCGGATGTTTCACTTTGAAGCACCACACCCACCAGGTGTGCTGTGACAGTTATAATTCTGGCTTGGAGCACTGCAGTTGTCCTTCTTTAGTTCATCAGTTGCTGCATCCTAGGACATCTTAGAGAATTTTTCAGAGGCCCCAGCAACGACCCCAGGTCTCAACTGCTTATGGATACTGCTTCCACTAGGGTTTCCAGTGTACTCTCAGGCAGGATTACTGGGCAAAACATAGGCTTCCATTTGTGGTTGAGACTGGAGAAGCTGAGGAGGTTTTAACAAAGCTCTGTATATGCATCACACATTCTGGAGACATTTTGTCTTTTTCATCAAGTTTGAATTCACAAGTTCTGGCCATCCCTGTGTGGCAGATTGCAACTCAGGTTGTGATTTTTGAAAGCAGTATAGTTAAGACATTGTTTTATGTGCTTTTAATTATGGTGACCTTAATAGGGTTTTCAAGGTACAGTATGTGAAATATTTTAGGAGCAGTTTTACCAGTACTGCCTCAAAGTGAATTTCCATGTCCAAGCAGAATTTGAACCAAAGTCTTCTAAATCTTTGGGAGTGAACATATGGGGAAATACCTGCTTTCCTTAACTGTTCCCCCAGTTTTTCCACTTCCCCTGGGTCCAGAGTAGTTTCTGCCTTCATGATCCCCTTTGGAGAACCCACACATGTTGTTTCCCTGGGCACAGCCATCTCTGTTCCTCTGTTTCTTTCTGCTTTCTCTTCTCTGTTGGAATGGATGGCATTCTGGTGAGAGGTGCCTCCATCTTGCCTCCTTGTTCACAGCATATTATGATAATGAAGAGAGAAGGAGAATTAAAGATAAATTGGAGGGTAAATTAAAAAGTAGTATTAAATATTTGGGGATAAACATTGCTTGGAATTTGCAAGATATTATAAAAATGAATTTGATAAAGTGAAAAAACAAATTAAGAGACAAATAAAGGAATATCAGAAGTTGAATTTATCATGGTTTGGAAGATTTAGCAGTATTAAAAATGAAGATAATCCCTAAATTCAATTTTTTATTTTGGATGTTACTCATAAAAATAGGCAATAAATAACTAAAAGAATAAATAAAAATGAATGCTATAAATCTTAAAGAAAAGGAGATTTGGTTATACTAAATATTAAATTACACTATACTGTATAAGGCAATGGGGGACACCACTCCTAAATTTAGTTACTTTTATAGTGGCAGGAGTAGAAGCTTTCTATTTATACATGTTTGAGATCGCAAATTATTTTGATTTGTGTATATGTCAAAATAACTAAAACCAACTGCTTAGGTTATTTTTGAAATAACTAGGAAGCAAAGAACTAATTTTTATTAAAATTACATTGATTAACTAATTCGTTGCAATTTTGGAATTGTAACTAATTACATTTTAAAAGTAACTTTCCAAGATTGGAGGAGAACTACATACACTGATTTGAGCTCACGAGAAGAAAAGCAGGATGTATATAGTGTAAATATTTTTTAAATGTCTAATTTTAAAATAATGTTTTACGTATGCACATAATTATCAAGCACCATCAAGTCAAGTCTGACTTATGGCAACCTTTTTCAAGTAGAGAATACTCAGAAGTGGTTTGCCATTCCCTTCCTCTAGGGTTGCCCTGGAACTGTGCAGTTCAGTGTATCATATCATATAGCTTATAACTGAATGTGTTTTAACTAATTATTGATTTTAAATATCTTGTATGCCACCTTGGATCCCAACTAGTGGAGAAAGGTGGGATGAAAATGGAAGGAAGGAAGGAAAGAAAGAAAGTAAAGAGAGGGAGAAGTAAGAAAGGAAGGAAAAGAGAGAGAAGTGGAAGGAAGGAAGGAGGGAGGGAGGGAAGGAAGGAAGGAAGGAAGGAAGGAAGGAAGGAAGGAAGGAAGGAAGGAAGGAAGGAAGGAAGGACAAACACCCAGAGAGGGAGCCAGGCAGATTTCTAGTGGCAAGTTGTTCCAAAGGCGAGGTGCCACTGCGGAGAAGGCCTGGTTCCCCAATCTTCCCTTCGAGGTCCTAAACCGTTTAGGGCTTTATATGTAATCATAAGAAGTTTAAATGTACTATTTTCCACACTACCGTATTCAATAATACGGAATCCTGAGGAAATTATTAATATTCTTTGCATCGTGTGCGCGTGTGCGCCTCGCTGTTCAAGAAAGTGCAACGGACCAACCCCCTCTTTTTTCTCCTTGTTAAGCATGAAGCAGCAGTTTGCAGGGATGGTTAATCTGGTGGGCAAACATAAATACTTTTCAGCCCCTTTTCATGACAATCCTTGGAAGAACCAAAACAAGGAAAGGGATTGGAATACAAAGACCTTTAACCCAATTGCCCGTATAATAAAATAGATAACAATCCAGTCCACGCCATTAATCCCTTAACCTGTGCATTCCATCAAACTTGAAAGGTAGCAAGCCAGAAATCCAGCCGATTTCTCAAAACCTTATCTTCTCCATTTAAACCCAAATAGAAAACCAGCAAAGGGTGCCAAATCTTAATGAAATTATGTTTTTCCCCCTTTTATCTTGTAATCAGTCTAAAGTCATGTTCTCTGTCCGTGCTACTGTCCATATCCTGAACAAATGTCTCCAAAAACAAGAGTTTACATCTGGGGTGGTGAGTAGGGGCTGGCGTAGCTTCTTAATAAAATGTAATGAAGCATTATGGTGTACAAGTAACACTGCTAATGGTCTGGACCTGGAGAGGCAGAGGTGTAGAAAATTGCTGTAGTGGACTACGATTTCCAGAATCCTTCAACCTTTAAAGAGCGAGTGAAGGATTCTGGGAGTTGTAGTTCACAAAATAACATTTCTGAGCTGTGCTGCAAGGCTTTGCCTGACCCAGCAGAGATCAGGAAATTCAGAGTTGTATATGTGGGACAGAATTCTTCCTGCGTTGTGCATGATCCGATTTAGGATCATGAAAACTGTTCCTTATCTTGGAAAGAATGTCTTTAAATACATTGGTCCCTTTACATTTCAGCAGACAACAACTTAAATGTGGAAAACCCAGTTCTTGAGAAAATGACACTCCACATAATCAGTAAGCGAGAATGCAATAAATAAGAAGTTTCTGGTAGGTTTTTTGAGTCCTGCATGTTCTTTAAGAGGAAGTATGTAGAAATTCTAGAAACACTTGCTGTACATTTTATCAGTGAATAATAATCCGTCTTGTTCATTCATAGCTGAGATGTTTTGCATTTGAAAAAGGTATAATTTATGTCATTATGTAGATTTTGAAGAAATTCTGGGTTGGCAATGAAAGACAACTACACTCTTAATTGAATATTTATTTTCCCCAAAACTTTTGCTAAAGAGAAAGACTCTTCCGAATAGTCATGATATTGCGATCACTGATATTGGGAAACAGTATTTTAACACATTGATTACTTTTTGTCTCTTTACTGAGGCAACAATTCAACATTCTGTTGTAGCTCACTCTGATCATAGAGGAGAAATTATAGTTCAATTGGACTTTGATTCACAATTTTGGCCCATCAGATGTTTTTGACTTCAAGTCCCAGAAACTTCAGCCAGCATGGTAATTGGTTGGGATTCTGGGAACTGAAGTCCAAAAACATCAGGAGGATCCAAACAGTGTAGTAGAACACACAATCAGTATGCAGACGTCTTAGATTTGATCCTGCCAGAAATCTCCATTTTAAAAATTCCTTAGTGTGTGGTAACACAAACACTGGTATAGAAAAACAGAACAGAGAATACCATTGCTAGACAATACTGAACTAGATGGACAATTAGTTTGAACAGGTAAAAGACAGTATTAATACTCTTACGAAGATCAGGCAGATGGTTACATAGGGCAGGGCCTTCTCAGTGTTGGCCCCAGGCTGCAGAACATCATCTCCTCCAGAGACATTCTTTTGGCACCCACTCTGTTCATTTTAGTACCAAAGTTCAACATTTAAAATTAATGGGTTGTAAATGGCTGACAGTCCTTTTGCTACTGATCATTTAAGAAAATGGAGTACTGATCCATTTAAGAAAATGGAGTACTTTTGTGCCTCTATCTTATATACTTATGTGAGCTACCCTTTAGATTGCACTGTCGTAGGTGAAGATGAAAAGCATCTGGAGGGGAAAAATCTAGCTCTATCTTTCTCCTGAAGCTGCACTCTTATCTCCATTCACCTATGAGTAATTCTTGGCCTGATGAAGTGACCTGCAGGATGTGAAAGCTAATGCCTTCTTTTAAAAAGAGACCTCTGGGTAGTGTGGGCGGCATATACATTAAATAAATAAATAATGAAAGTGAGCTTTCAGAGGTTCTACCCAAATCTGCCACTTGCCCTTAGATATGCAGGATTTGAATTTTATTATGTGGGAATGCATTGACCTCCAGATGCATCTTTTTCATAGACGTGAAGAAGCTAGTGTTCCCCTATAAAGAGGCACAATATCGGAATATCAGTTACACGAAAGCAAATAAAGCCAGATGGTTGACCAGTTAATCAAAGAAATGGCTCGATGAACAGCAACATCTAAAGCATTTGTGACATTTATATACTCATGGAGCCATTTTTTCATCCATTCCTAATGCAAGTTCAAATCTGTTGTGTATGTGGTATTTCATCAGTATTACAGTCTACATTGAAAAGCTTCACGGTAGATACAAAAAAGCCCAAGGGAGCCTGGGATGCAAGTTTTAGCATCACACAAAACAAAGTTTTTTTTGTCTGAGTTACCAGTCTACTTTTTCTTCTTTCCAAGTAAGAACATCTAAACAGAAGATACAGTTTAACATGGAGGGGCCTACATCAGTGCTTCCCAACCTTGGGGTAACCCAGGTGTTCTTGGACTGCAATTCCCAGAAGCCTTTACCACCAGCTGTGCTGCCCGGGGTTTCTGGGAGTTGTAGTCCAAGAACACCTGGGTTACCAAAGGTTGGGAACCACTGCTCTTCCATACCTGGCGTTTCAGCAGACTTTGAACAACTGCAACTCCCAGAAGCCTTCACCATCAGCTCTGCTGGCTGGGGTTTCTGGGAGTTGCAGTTCAAAAAGACCTGAGTAACAAAGGTTAAGAACCACTGATCTACATGATGACATTTCTTTCAGGTATTAGCATATGAATATGTTCTGCAAAGAGCCCTAACTTGCTTAAGCAAGTGGACAGAAATGAGATGCAATGTGATTTAGAGTCAGGAGATGGGAGATCCACATTCAAATCTCCACTGAGCCATTAATGATTAAACTCACCAGGTGACCTTGGATTGTTACTCCTTTTCCCAACCTGACCTGCTTCATAGAGTTCTGAAGAAAGGTTGGAGAGGGGGACAACTTTTTTTTATTGGTGGAGAGGCAGAACATCAGTGTAACTAATAACATATAAACAAAAAGGAAGTTAATTGTGGGGGCTATTCTTTGATGCATTGAGTTGATCACCAGCAAAACCTGAGTGTGGAATATCTGTGACCAATACCCTGAGTTTCATAGTAGGCGTAGTGAGAATTTGTGCCTGGACACCATAATGATCCAAACCTCTCATATCTACAGCATATTTTGGAATACAGTGGGGTCTTGACTTAAGAACGGCTTGAGTTAAGAACATTTTGACTTAAGAACCGCTCTCATAGGAAAATATTGACTTGACTTACATACTTAGATTTGAGTTAAGAACTAAAAAAAACCACGTGGGAGGCAGGGAAAGTGCAAAAAGTGAACTTTTAGTTAACTGTTGGCCAGTGAAAAGGGTTCCTGTCTGCTTCCTCTCTCCTCCCAGCGTTTAGAGAGTGGATTGGGAGTCTTCAGACTGCCCGGTACTGCCTGGACTGTATTTTCCCTGCCTTCCCTGAACCTTTCTTGACCTAAGAAAAAAGGAACAAAATATCCCCCTCTAGTGGTCGAAGGCGGAATAGCAGCATCCCATTAGTTTCTATGGACGGAAAAGAGCAGATACGGATCAAATGTTTCTCAATGGATTCCTATGGGAAATGCAGATTTGACCTGAGCACTTTTTGACTTGAGAACCGCCTTCCAATACGGATTAAGTTCTCAAGTCAAGACCCCACTGTATAGAAGGACAATACCAGCTACAGCAACACAGTGAAAAAAAGTATATATACATTTTCAGCACAGCAGATGCTGACGTGAGGACCGGAATCAACACTAGCACAAAATGATCTTTATTAACTAGTGGTGCAGTACCTTGTTAAATCTGTAAACCAATAGCACACAATCAAGAGAATAAGAATGTTAACAAAGGATTCCTGGGATTACAAGCTGCGAGAGGGAGATCCTTTACAGATAGAGGCATGAGTTGGTTCACGGTTCATTTCAGAGCCTTAAGAGTGCACCATTTCCTGGAATTCTGAACCAAAGGAAGGAAAGGTGAGTTGTAAAGTGGACTTGTAGGAGAAACAATTGTTTATTACCTCAAACAAAAAATAGAGGCCATTAAGGTGACCTGTTGATAGTGTTGATTGGCACGATATGGCCTTCTTCAGAAGGTGGTTGGGCTGAAACTTACGAGCCTTAGCCGGGATAGCCAGTGATGAGGAATTATGAGAGCTGCAGCTGAACAATGTCTGGAGGGCCATAAATTGCTCACCTGATATACAGTAAGGATGTAACAAGTACATCATCTCATTCCTGGATGTTTTCTGGGTCTCATCATGTAAAGATTCTCTACTTTAATTTTCTTTTGCATCAGTGAGATTTCCCAGAAAAACTATAGCCGTGTCATTTTCACTTTTATTTATTTACGTACCTAGTTTTGTTTTCCATCCAACTGACAAATTCTGCATTGCTTAAAATGCTTTCTGGTGAATCTTGCACAGGACAGATACCATCCAGCACAGGAATTGTAATGAACCTGCACACTTTGGCCTTCCTTTTGCCCTTATCAGCTGAACCTTTTATAGAAAAGATGCCATACTGTGCAAGAACTGAAATAAGATCACCAGATTGACATTTCTTTCCAAAAAAAGAGAGCATGAAATGCCAGAGAAATCCAGTGCATTTTCCTGTGAGATTTCTCTAGGGGAAAAGTCCTGCACTGGGCTCCCCACACACCTTAGTTTCTCTCTGAGAGCCAGAAGATGTTGAGATCCGAATCCCTAACAAGGTCTATATCATCATAGCAAAATGGAACAAGCCCTGATGCATGTTAGCTGTGACTTGCACTGGAGAAGCTGCAGAGGACAAGGTCCACAAGATGATGGCACCTGATTATCACACAAGAAGAGCCAGATTAAATTTCTGGCATTTCAAGGTAATACAGGGAACACCTCTCTGAACCTCTGGAGAGCACAGCTGACATTCAATGCTGCCAACCATGGGCAAGATGAGTCACAAATCTCATTTAGTTTAAGACAATTTCTTTTAATGCTCAAGGAGTTCATAAAAACATCTGGATGGCCCCTGATGAAAATTCTGATGGATTACTATAGTTGACAACTCCAATTTTAGGGAGACTATGAATCCATCCTGGATTTTAGTTGACATTTTACAAGAGTTATGCAGGGTAATGGACCCTATTTTGCAAAGAAGATTCAGCACCATAGTTAGCTGCTATAAACTGTTTAGAAAGACCCTGAGCAACATAGGCAATTGCCTTATACTGAACGACACACCATATTTCTGGCAGAAAATAGCGTTGGTCTGAAATAGCTGTTGTCTAAGGTTAAAAAAGAAACTGCGAAAGCATAATTACAGTTGAACAATAAGAAGACAAAAATCATGATTATGGAAGAACGACATAACTTTAATGCTGGTTATGAAGAAATCAATACTGTTTAAATTTGACTTCTTCATTGTCAACATTAAAGATTTTCTACGTATACCGTATTTTAATTATCAGTCGTAATGGAGATGTGACCAAGAAATCAGAAGAAGGCTAAGACTTGGAAAACCCACTATGAAGGAACCAAATCAAATCAAATTTGAAATCAGTAGGTGCATACCTTCTGCTCCGATTTTTCCATCTCCATCATGATCTGCTGCTGCCAAAAATGTTTTGGTTTCTGTAGCTGTTAACACCCGGGCTCCACACTCAAACCTCTGGAGGAAATACCTAGTGAGAGGAAAGGATGAAAGTATGTTTGATGCTTGGTATACCTACCTGAAGAAGAATCCTGTTTGCCATGAGGATGATTCACAATCATTTTGAAACTTACTGCAAGAGAAAGATGGAGCTTTCTTCTTAGGAGAGTGTCGAAATAAACCATGTATTCTTCATTTCTGGTTTGTTTTCATCCCGCCCCTTTTGTCACTTATTACTTTTCAAGTCAAACTTGGACAATACAGGTAGCATGTAATTAGAAGCTGTGCTAGTGAAAGATGTATATTTGTTATAGTATATACTTTTCTTCACCTCTGTATCTTGCAATCCTGTGTGCTTTTTGGCAAGTAGGGAGGAACAATGGGTTCTTGGAAAATAAACATGAAGTTTATTTCCAGACCTGATTGCTCGGGACAGCACCCCTGAGAAGATCGCATCACTGGAAAAAGAATATTGATAGTCCTAGCAATGTGGCAGCCAGATTTCTTACTGGGGTGAAAAGGTACCACCATATTTTCCCCACTCTGGCCACCTTTCATTGGCTGCCCATTCGTTTCTGCGTTGATTTCAAAGTTCTTATGATTACGTATAAAGCCCTAAATGGTTTAGGACCTCGAAGGGAGGATCGAAGAACTGGGCCTTCTCTGCAGTGGCACCTCGCCTTTGGAACAACTTGCCACTAGAAATCCGCCTGGCTCCCTCTCTGGGTGTTCTTCCTTCCTTCCTCCCTTCCTCTTCTCTCTCTTTTCCTGCCTTTCTTACTTCTCCCTCTCTCTTTTCTTTCCTCCCTCCGTCCCTTCTATTTTCATCCCACCTTTCTCCACGAGTTGGGATCCAAGGTGGCATACAAGATATTTAAAATCAATAATTCATTTAGCTATAAGCTATATGATATACTGAACTGCACAGTTCCAGGGCATCCCTAGAGGAAGAGAATAGCAAACCACTTCTGAGTATTTTCTACTTGAAAAAGGTTGCCATAAGTCAGATTTGACTTGATGATGCTTGATAATTATTATGTGCATACTTAAAACATTATTTTAAAACTAGACATTTAAAAAAATATTTACACTATATGCATCCTGCTTTTCTTCTGGCGAGCTCAAGTCAGTGTATGTGGTTCTCCTCCGATCTTGGAAAGTTACTTGTAAAATATAATTAGTTACAATTCCAAAATTGCAACAAATTAGTTAATCAATGTAATTTTAATAAAAATTAGTTCTTTGCTTCCTAGTTATTTCAAAAATAACCTAAGCAGTTGCTTTTAGTTATTTTGACATGCACACAAGGCAAAATAACTTGTGATCTCAAACATGTATAAACAGAAAGCTTATAGTCCTGCCACTATAAAAGTAACTAAATTTAGGAGTGGTGTTCCCCTATTGCCTTATGGTTCTAATGTAATTCAGCTAGGCCTTAGTTATTGAGAAAACCAATGAAGTACAAGTAATTAATTATTTATAACAAGTTACACGCATTTTGCTTCCTCACTACAACAGTCCTGTGAGGTGGATAAGGCCATGAGAGAGAGATTGACTCAATTGCCTGGAGAGCCTCATAGCTCAGGAGAGAGTTGAACGTCTTCCCAACACAACCAATAACAGCCCCATCACACCAGATCAGCTTAAACCCACTTCCAAGTCAGAGTGCGCTTATGTTATTAAAATAAATTGGGTGATGATCAAGGTTTTTAAAGTCCTGTGGTAGTCCCATGGTTTCTCGGTTGGTGGGACAACTTTTGATCCATTTTTAAACAGCGTTGTATATTGATCAAGGGGGCTACTTTTAAAATAATTTCATTTGAGTCTTTGTCCTGTGCCCACCCTTGTACTGGAATGTATGTGTGACTGTGTGGGGTGCGTCAAGCAATGGATGCCAGGACCAAAGGGTCCAGAGTGGAGGGAAATCTTGCAGTTCAATCTGTTTTTCTTTCCTATCTGTAATAATAATCTAGCGCTATGCCATTTTGAAAAAAAATAAAAAAATATTAAAACCAGTAGCTATGAGAGGCAGCTAATCTAGCGCTATGCCATTTTGAAAAAAATAAAAAAATATTAAAACCAGCGGCGGCAGTGAGTAGCTATGAGAGGCTAATGTTTTGTTCTGGACCTGCCAGGTTGGGTGGGCATCAGAAACTCATTGCATCTGATGTTTTGTTCTGGGCCTGCGCAAGTAACAGATCAGACTGCAGGGTTTCCCTGCATCCTGAAACCCATGATCCTGGCATCCATTACTTGACAAACTCCACAAACACAATTTCCTCTGACACAGGTGAGCCTACATGCCAAACTTATTCAAAATAAATTGTGTCTGAGTCTAAAATACCTCACTTTCCAAACAAAAAAAACCATGCCTCCTGGCCAAAAAAATAAATAAAAAAACATGCTTATTCAAAATAAATTGTGTCTGAGTCTAAAATACATCACTTTCCAAACAAAAAAAAAAAGCCATGCTTCCAGGCCAAAAAAAACATGCACTTTGCTGTACATCCTGTTAATTGATATTTTAAAATCTATTTCAAGTATGCTAAACCAATGTATTTTGATGTTTACCCTCCCTGCCTCCAACTGAGAAAGATTACAAAGATGTCTCACTTGAGTTCATCTTCTTCAATGAAGCCACTCTGATCATTGTCTAAGATCCGGAAGATTTCTTTGACTTGGCTGCTGCTCTTTTTGGACATGCCAGTAGTCTGAAAGAATTTCTTGTAGTTGAAGCTATCCGGAGCTAAGACAGGAAAAAAAAAGCCACTGTTATCTAGATGGTTGAGAGCCGATGATGGTCACTTTGTTTTGACTAAGAATCAAACTGCAGAGGATACTAAGCTCATGATCAGAAGGTGATAACATCGTTTTGCTGTAGGGATGTGATTTCTTTACAACTTTGACCAATGAGACTTGCTAATGCAAGCCTGGTGACCAATCATTAATTTGGAAAATTCAGAAGTGAGAAAGCACAGAACTGAACAGTCAGATACCTTTTGCAGAGGTGCACAGATTTGTAATTTTAGAAACAATTTCTAGAATTTCTCATCATGTGAGACCAACCATTGGTTGTAGCATTTGGGGGAATTCTAAGAGCTGTTGTCCAAAAAAAAAAGCAAAATGCAAAAAATCTGAAAGTTTTGGAATCAAAGATACTGAAACTTAAAAAGCACACTTTTTTTCATATGTGGTGGACTTGCAGTAAAGCAAAAAAGTTTGGGAGACAGATAAAAGATATAGCACCAGAAATTATACACCAAGAAATAATGTTTAAACCAGAAATATTTTTATTGTATATAGTTCCAGAAATTGTTGATAAAAAAATTAAATACATGCTGTTGCACATATTTACAGCGGCAAGGCTGATCTGGGCCCAGAGGTAGAAAATGCAAGAAATTCCAAAGAAAGAGGATTTACTTTAAAAAGTTATTAGATATTGCCAAAATGGATAGCTTATCAGAGACACTACGTCAGAACTTGAGAATATATACTAAGGAAAGTTGGAAAAAGTTTTACGACAGGGCCCAGAAACAGATATGAATAGAGAATGTACTGTATTAGAGGTTATCACATCACAGTCATGAAGTCAAGAGCTTTTTAGATATTGTACGAAAGCTAATACACCTCTGTTTAGATGTTTTGTGTTTTGTTAATCCCTTTGTTTTCCTTCCCCTGTTGTTGTATTGCATAGTTGTTTGGTAATAGTTAATATAAATTTTAAAAAAAATTAAAAACCCCACAAACAAACAACCCCCCCACTCAACTGTAGCTTTGTCTGAACAGTAGCCAAAATGGAAAGTGTGTATTTGAAGTTGGTACCTCTAATAACCCAATGCAAGGAACAAGCTAAATCTTGAAAATGATGTCTTGGTCAACATAGACCTTTGGTCAAATCGATTGTGGCAACTGGTGGAACACTGCTAGATGCTGAGCTTCTGTTGCTACTAATCAAAAGGCATTAGGCAGTTGTTCCATTTCCCCTTCTTTGATGGTGTGCACGTGTTAGGAAATACAGTAGTGGAAAAACAGGTGGAAAATGCTGTTACCTTGAAACCTTCCTCCTCCCAAAATCCTGTGAACAAAGGCTAGGTTACACGGGTGATTTGTATCGATTTCAGCTCTGCAGTATCTTAAATCGGTTTCAAGTGCTAATTTTTTTAAATAGAATTTTTAAAAATTCTGCCACTCCCCACCTGCCTCTCCCAAATACCTTGCACTGTGGCAAAAAATCAGGGTTCTTTCTGTATTGTGTAGCTGAGATTTTAAAAATCAAGTTTATTCATGCAAAACTCAATTTAACAATGGTCCACATTCTCTGTGTAACCATACCTTAAGACAGGGTGTTTGCGCAATTAAAGCCTTATCTAGAAGTGTTTGTTTGGGGCTGTATGACATCTTGAGCCTTTTCCAGAAACAGGCAAATAATGATAAGGAGAAGAAGATCGAGGGGGAGAGGGGGAAAAAAAAAACAGTTTTACCTTGGCAGTCTCTCAGTGCTGCAGCAATATCGGAAGGGCTGAGAAGATCTGTAATGCTCATCTTACTGTGTTTGAAAAGAAAAGAAAACAAAGTACCATAGGAAGTGAAATCCCACAATGCAGGAGATAAATTTTAAATTTCTAACTAAATCAATTTATCTATGTTCTATTTTTAAATTAAAAATGCATATGCAAACACCTTGTCTCTGTCTAAGTCACTCTTGTTCTCATCTAGAGGGGGGAAAGGGTACCGTAAAAGCTAGCAAATTTATTATATCACTAGCTTTTGTGGATTATAAATTTACAGAAGCTCAGTGCAGTGATAAATGTGTTTGCTCCTCAAGTGATGAAGGACTCTGTGTTATTTTAGCGAAGTCCACTTCTTTAAAAATTAAAAACAATTGAACCCCTCTTCTTAATTCTGGCTTACCTCAATACTTGATTTGTCTGGTATCTTCTGAACAAGAATAATCTTTTGAACCCTGCCATTGAAATACATAGTTTTTTGGATAGAGAGCGAAGAAATGTTCAAAGAGATACTAATAGAAAAGTCTTTTTACAAAGGCTGCAAAATGGAAGGATGGAATGTTTTTACTAAAGTAACAAATTGTTCCAGCTTCAATAATTCATGTCTAAAGGAAAATAAGTTATAGTTTAATTCTAGAGAGAAAAACAGCTTTGTCTTATTCACAGAGACATTTCCACCTCTCAGCATTGCTGCTGGCTTTTCAGTTTTGTTGCTTCTCCAACCAGGAAAGAGGTTAACAGGTAGAAAGAGAATAAGACATAGATAATAAGTCCATCTCGAAGAGTTACTGTATACTTACTACCTAGCCAGAATGACATAGATGTTTCTGCTCTTTAATTTCTTAGCTGGCTGCTCACCTTATTGGTTTCCCCAGCTACGGGAGAGGTGGGGGAGAAAAAGTTGAATCGATATCACACAAATTGTACTTTGGCTCAGAGCTGCCCGCCTAACTTATATAGGATTCAAAAGGTGACAATGGCGACTTAGGTTACCTTTTCATGGATTAGATGCTCAATTTGAGCCCCTGCTCAAATGTCTTGCTTAACTAATGAACTGGGTTTCCTTCCTCTTCTGTTTATGCCTGAGGATAATAATGCAGGGAGACCTGTAGATGCTGTTCTCAGGACAATAAATGCATTGACTTTTGATCTGGCTCGAGATCTGGCTGGGGAAAGGACAAAATTGTGCCTCCTTTCCCACTCCTCATATGGAAACTGATGGAGGATGAGGAATCCAACAGAGCAAGAGGCTTTGAATCTGCTCTGGATTGTCATCTGAATTTAGAGGAACTACAAAGGTGCAGAATGGTATCCCTAATCTGGGTTCAGCACCAGGAACAGCTCCTTTAAACCATGGACTAAAAACCTGGAGCAGATTCATTGTCATTATCAGCATCATCCCCCTCCCTTGGGGTACTGTTTGCATAGCACGTCAACACTAGCAATGAGACAGTGTTCTTCATGCTTCAAAGGCAGCAGGCTAGTTTATGAGAACACTCGCCACTACCCCGGATGTCTTGGTGGCTGACACAAAGAACAACAAGATGGCACTTGTCAGTCCGTAGAAAGTAACAAACTAGATTGGCAGTTGAATTAATGTTAAGTCAACTCTGGTACCTGAGGTCATAAGGCTCCTTTAGGGGGTGCAGGATATGCCGTGTGGCACACCATTCTCTTTTCAAAGAGCATGGTGTGCTGTTAAGTCAACTCTGGTACCTGAGGTCATCAGGCTCCTTTATGGGGTGCAGGATATGCCATGTGGCACACAACAAAGAGGAACCATAGCAGGACCCCAATCTTTGGCTGTGGGGATGTGCTGACGCTGAGTGTTAAACCGCAGAAGCCTCTGTGCTGCAAGGTCAGAAGACCAGCCATCGTAAGATCGAATACACACGACGGAGTGAGCTGCCATCGCTCGTCCCAGCTCCTGCCAACCTAACAGTTCGAAAGCATGTCAACATGCAAGTAGATAGATAGGTACCACCACGATGGGAAGGTAACGGCGTTCCATGTCTAGTTGTGCTGGCCACGCGACCACGGAAACTGTCTATGGACAAACGCTGGCTCTACGGCTTGGAGATGGGGATGAGCACTGCGCCCTAGAGTTGGACACGACTGGACTCAATGTCAAGGGGAACCTTTACCTTTAATCTTTGGCCTCCAGCCCCTGTTGCCTGAGGTGTTTGCCTCACTCTGCCTAACATAAGAGCTGGTTCACTTTTAAGCATGGCCATGAAGCTAGATTCCTGTAGGAGTCCTTTGTTATTCTAAAGAACAAACAACAGCTGTCAGAAGAGCACCAGCTGCATATGGAGAGAACTCATTCTGAATCGCTTGCTGTACCAGGTAGAGCTGGGAAAGATTCCTACCTGCAGCTCTAGAAAGCCATTGCTAATTATTAGAGACAGTACTGACACAAACTATGATCTGACTCAGTGGTATAGGTTTAACGTTACCTGAACAAAACATGGGCTCGTATGCCCACCCCTCTGCCATTCTTTCCCTTTTGCTCCATCATGGGTTTGAAATAGGAAGCTTTCTCTTCCAATTTTCAATGCACTGTCTGCAGTTCAGTATTACATCTGAGCTCTAAACTGTGGTTAATCCTAACTGTGATCGACTGTGGTTAAAATTAACTGTAGTTTAATCTTAACTGTGAAAACAATCATAATAAAGTAGAGTTTATAGATGAACTCTTTAAATTAACCACATTTAAGAATAGCCACAGCCTGGATATAATGTCAAACTGTGGTTACTTTAAAATGACATTCTTGATTTCTTCCTTGTGGCTTTGCTGTGAGAAGGGAGAGAGAGGTGATAACAGTGAGTTTTATTTAGATCTGTAAAGGGGGAAAACTTGTTTGTGTGTGGAATGCAGCATCCAGAACACCCAAATTGGGGTGGACAAAATGTGGCCCTCTAGGTGTTTTTCGACCAAAACATTGAGCCTTCCTCACCACTGATTATGCTAGTTGGGGCTGATGAGAGTTGTAGTCTAAAAACATCTGGAGGGTCACACTCCTTCCCCATAACCCAGATTTAGATATTGCTGAGCCATCGTTTAGCATCATGTTTGAATCCAGCCAATAAGGCTGTCATAGAAAATAATAATTATGTGCTGCCGTCAATTCTGACTCATGGTCAGAAGTATTCAGAAGTAGTTTGCCATTCCCTTCCTCTAGGGGGCAACCTTGGGCCTGTGCAGCTGGCCCAAGGCCACCCAGGCTGGCTCTTCTGTCTGGAGGCAACAGTGGAGAATTGAACTCCAGCTCCATAGCCAGAGACCTAAGCCACTGAGCTATCCAGCCTGCTACTCATAGAAAAAGCTGGTTTTATTACACAGCTACTGATCCTTTGAGAGAATGTGGAGGTGAAAGACACCAAGCGACAACATGTCAGGCAGACAAAGAAACCTGTCAGTAGGAGAAAGGGAAGAATGATCTTGTTTGGGGTGAACTTTCTCTGGCAAGTTTTGATCTGTCATCTAGAACAAGCCATTTCCTAAATTACTGCTGCTTTGAGAAAGGGCAAGCAGAAATATGAAACCCTTAATGACAGGAAAAATAGAGGTAATTCTAATCGGACTGTTGTTTTTCAAATGCCCTGTAAGAGGTGATTTGCACTTTACTTTTTAAACTCAACTGCAACAGTATATATATATGTATGTGTGTGATATCTGCACACATCTTAGGACAAGATCCTTAAGGAGTTAATCTAAAACATATTTATTTATTCAATGCATTACTTAAATTTGTATACCACTCCCCATTAATGCCAAGGAACTACTCTGGATGGTTTGCATAATAAAATAAAATAAATAAAATAAAATATAAATATATAAATATAAAATAAATAAATAAATAAATTTGCAATACTGAACAAAATTAAGATAATGCTAAAACTATTTCAAAACACTGTAACAGCTAACTAATAACAACCAATTAAAAATAGGGTTTTAAATGGACCTAAGAAACCAAGGAAACTATGGATAGATCTTGTTTCTGTGCATGGAAAATTAGAGGGTTTCCCTATCCTGCCTAGATGATGATGCCTCTGTATAGCAGACAAGCAGATCTGTGAAATCTAGAATTGCTTCTCTGTTTTTTTTTCTGCTTTCAGAGAAAATCCTTTTTATTCAGGCAGCCTTTTGGCAACGGTCTGGATGCTGAAGAAGGGGTTTTTGACACAATAAAGCCTCACCATGGAGTGCACATAAAATTTAATAGTGTACAATAAAAAGAGATCCAAAGTGCCAGTAAATAATGCTGGCATCTTAGGTGCCATCAGATGGCAGGAAAGGCTTTAATGGGAATGATCTTCCTTGGAGTAACCATTCCATCTGGCAGGATAATGTTCCTGTTCAGTCCCCAAAACTAACAGCCCCTTCATTCCCCTTAATACATGGTGGGATCCCTGGGAAATAGATTGCACTGGACTGCCCCATAAGTAGTCCAAAATACAATCTATTTCCCCAATGAGATCACACACTTACTTTGGGGTCTTTCGATCTGGATATGTTTTAATTGCGTTACATTTCCTGTAGATTTGTTGTTTGTGCTTTATTGTTTTAAAAAACACAACCCTACAGATACAAAAGGGACGTAGTGGCACTGTGGGCTAAACCACAGAAGCCTGTGCTGCAGGGTCAGAAGACCAAGCAGTCGTAAGATCGAATCCACGTGACGGAGTGAGCGCCCATCGCTTGTCCCAGCTCCCGCCAACCTAGCGGTTCGAAAGCATGCAAATGCAAGTAGATTAATAGGGACCACCTCGGTGGGAAGGTAACAGCGTTCCGTGTCTAAGTCGCACTGGCCATGTGACCACGGAAGATTGTCTTCGGACAAAACGCTGGCTCTACGGCTTGGAAACAGGGATGAGCACCGCCTCCTAGAGTCGAACACGACTGGACAAAAATTGTCAAGGGGAACCTTTACCTTTACCTTACAGATACAAAGATTCTACGGTCAACCTATTGGCATGCTTTTAAACAGTTGTTAATCCAGCAATGTTTTAATATCATAATAGGTTCCTCTA